TGTAAATACTTTTATATTATATATATTGCTTTGAGGGATCTGGTGGGCAGTGAAGCAGTCAATGAATGTTTTTAACAACAACAAGTTCTTGATCACAACTTGTTTTTGAAGCCAGTGTTGTTTGTAAGAGATCTTTCTTTTGGAAAATGGAGAAATCAGGTAAAATTTGTATGGGTACTCAGTAGAGTGTCAAAGCCTGAATGTCGGATTGTAAGAGACAAGAAAATTGAAATAGAAATTTTACCATTTTACATTGGCCCTAAGACTAGTGATATGTTTCTATTATTAGTGCTTAAGAAAGGATGCAGAGTCACGTAGGCGAGAGCTCCATATTCGGACCTATGCTGTTATTCCTTTGAATGAGGAATGTGGAATTATTGAATGGGTGAACAACACTGCTGGCTTAAGGAATATCCTGATCAAATTATATAAGGAGAAAGGTAAATAAACAAATAACCTTTTGAATGTGAAAAAATATGTCCCGAGTAGGAGAGGAAGAACAGAATATGAGGAAGGAGAAGAGTTACATGTTCTAAAATCTTTCACAGTATAACCCTTTGCCTTACTTGTCAGCATTTATAGAAGCCATGTTGGATCACTGCATAATTTTAGTCAATTCTATAGGAACTTGTTCCCCTCTTCTCTCCATTGTTTACACCATGTTCAGACAACTGCAACAATGACAAGCAGTAAAATATGGTTAAACGTGTACTGTATATAATAAAAACAAATTAATGATACCAATATCATTTACCAATGTGTGTTACGTGCCATCAAGTGGAACCAACTTACAATGATTCTAATAGGGCTTTCAAGATAAGTGTGATATTTAAGGAGTGGTTTTACCAATTCTACTTCCAATGGGTTTCCATGGCCAAGTAGGAATTGGAACCTTCTAATAGGACTTTCAAGATAAGTGTGATATTTAAGAAGTGGTTTTTACCAATTCTACTCCCAGTGGGTTTCCATGGCCAAGTAGGAATTGGAACCCAAGTCTCCCGAATCCTAGTCAATCACTCTATCCATCAAGCCACACTGGGCATCTCAGATACAACTAAATAATATAATACTATTGTTACTTAGTTTAGCTACATAGCACCAATTTACTATGCTTTACTGATTTTTTAACTATTAGGTATGTACATGACTGGAAAAGAGCTACGTCAGTGTATGCTTCCAAAAACAGCACCTTTATCTGAAAAATTGAAAATTTACAAAGAAAGTCTACTTCCCCGGCATCCTCCAGTTTTTCATGAATGGTTTCTGAGAAATTTTCCTGATCCTACTTCATGGTAAGTTGTTATTTTGTTAGTTATCCTATTATGATGTCTGGTTTGAAACAAAACTAAAGGTAACCCTCATGCATCAGGAAAGGGCATTTTAGTCCCCTGAAGTTTATTTTGTTGAACAATCCACACATAAATAGAACTACAAGATAGGTGTTTAATGGCATTATCACCTTAAGAAGTGGTTTTTACCAATTCTACTCCCAGTGGGTTTCCATGGCCAAGTAGGAATTGGAACCCAAGTCTCCCGAATCCTAGTCAATCACTCTATCCATCAAGCCACACTGGGCATCTCAGATACAACTAAATAATATAGTACTATTGTTACTTAGTTTAGCTACATAGCACCAATTTACTATGCTTTACTGATTTTTTAACTATTAGGTATGTACATGACTGGAAAAGAGCTACGTCAGTGTATGCTTCCAAAAACAGCACCTTTATCTGAAAAATTGAAAATTTACAAAGAAAGTCTACTTCCCCGGCATCCTCCAGTTTTTCATGAATGGTTTCTGAGAAATTTTCCTGATCCTACTTCATGGTAAGTTGTTATTTTGTTAGTTATCCTATTATGATGTCTGGTTTGAAACAAAACTAAAGGTAACCCTCATGCATCAGGAAAGGGCATTTTAGTCCCCTGAAGTTTATTTGTTGCACAATCCACACAGAAACAGAACTACAAGATAGGTATTTAATGGCATCATCACCTTAATAGTGGTAAACAGTGTACCCAGGCTGCAACCACTTACCATTAAGGTTATGATTGTAGCCAACAATAAATACAGCAGAAACAATAACTTGGATTTGATGCTCTTTAATTAACCATTGTGCTCAGAAGTGAAAGCAACATACTTATTGTCAGTTGTTTGACTTCATAGTATGGGGGGATTGGAATTCTCAGTAGGTTTAGGAGATACAAAGAGACAAAGAGTGTAAATATAACCCAGATGGTATCCCAGCTTTGCTGCTAAACTTTAGCACATTGTAATTCTCAGGAGGTTAAAAATTGCCCCAGAACTCTTTCAGTGGAAGTTTTTTTTTTTAATCCTGGTTTGCAGGGTGTAATTTAGTAAAACCTTTGAAAGTAGACTATAACAATTATAATAAATTACACATTTGCTATACACAGAAACCTTAATATCCTCAGCATGTTTTTAGAAGGCCAAAGTGATTCTAGAAACCCATGAAATTTCTCCTTTCTAGGTACAGCAGCAGATCAGCATATTGCCGTTCCACTGCAGTAATGTCTATGGTCGGATATATACTTGGTCTTGGGGACCGTCATGGAGAGAATATTCTGTTTGACTCTTTAACTGGTGACTGTGTGCATGTAGATTTCAACTGCCTGTTTAATAAGGTAAAAAATTTAATATCGATCTTATTACTCCGTTGAACTGGAAGATAGTTCTCGTGTTCGAATGTTAAAAGAGGTTGTATGGCCATGCTATTTGCTATTCAATGCTTGGTAAGCAAAATAATTCTATTAAAAGTTATGTCATCAAAATACTGAAATGATTATTAAAGGAGAGGGGCTTAATTTCCAGCATTTGCAAATAGCATTGCATGTTGCTCTGAAAATTTTATGTAAGAATCCAGAGATTAAATTACTTGTCAGGAAAACACTGAAACTTCTGTTTCACAACAAAAGCGAAATCTGTCAACAGACAGGGATATGAATATAATGGGCATTCCAAGCTTCGGTTATTAATTGTAATGTAGATTTGGAAGGCTGTGATAATGCACTATGAATTTAATAACATATGGATATGCTAGATAAACCTTGTTAGGAGTACAGCAGTTTTGCAGCAGTATGTTAACTTCCATTGAGAGAAGCAAACTTTTAATGAAATTCCAAAATGAACCTTTTTCTTATTAATTGGAAGGGAGAAACGTTTGATTTTCCGGAGATAGTTCCATTTCGTCTTACTCACAATATGGTTAATGGAATGGGTCCAATGGGGACAGAAGGTCTCTTCCGGAGAGCTTGTGAAGTTACACTGAGGCTTATGCGTGACCAAAGAGAACCACTAATGAGGTACAGTAACAGTCTTTGTTTAGATGGCTGTGTATAGAGAAGTGGGGGAGCCTTCATGTATTACTTAAATTCACAGTATAACCTCTTTTACATCACTGTACATTCCTTACTCAGTGAAAGGTTTCCTATATACAGTAGCTGCACAAACAATGAAGAGTTTTATGGCATCTTAAGGACTAAAAAGTTTGATTTCACATTTTTTTGGCATCTAAAATGGTTTAATTTCCACTGATGTTTATGCCTGATAATACTAATAATCATAGTAATCTGTGATTTTTCTACTTTGCCTCAATATCTCTTTGAATCTGTTGTAACTTTTTTCTGTGAAGAACTCATAAACTTCAGTTCCTCCTTAAACATCATGTGCACAGTACAGTGAAACAAACTAACAAACATAAGTTCCTTTTACCTCACAACTACAGTTGGAACTAAATACATTGTTTTAAAGGAGGCAGAGGAGGGCCTGGTGTGCTCTCGTCCATGGGGTCACAAAGAGTTGGATACAACTTAACGACTAAACAACAACACCACATTCTTTTAAACTAGGGGTCTCAAACATGTGGCCCAGGAGCCATTTGTGGCCCGCTAGACAATAGTTTGTGGCCCCCACCTTGCCTGCTCCCCAAAGCGCCCAGGCGTCCTCTGCTGTCAAGAGTTAAAAGAAGCCTCGCTCGCTCGTTGGCTCTCTCCCAAGACAGCGCCTCTTGCACTCTCCAACTGGAACTGCAGCCTGCCTGCCAGCCCGCCTGGCTAAGGAAACTCGTGGGCAGTTTCCTTGGGCTCTTGCTCCACTTGGCGGAAAATCTGATGAGGATGTCTTTTTTTTCCTGTACAACAATCTACATTGATTCAAATACAGTCCTGGCATCATCTTCTGGTTGCTGCACAATGGTGGAGGCTGGGGTTTCACTCACATTCATAATTTTTCTCTTTGTATTACCCGATTCCCGGAAAATAAGACAGGGTCCTATATCAATTTTTGCTCCAAAAAAGCGCATGAGGGCTTATTTTTAGAGGATGTCTTTTTTTTCCTGTACAACAATCTACATTGATTCAAATACAGTCCTGTCATCATCTTCTGGTTGCTGCACAATGGTGGAGGCTGGGGTTTCACTCAACTGGGGCTTTTTTGGGGGGTAGGGCTTCTACTACGAGCATCCTGAAAAATCATACTAGGGCCTATTTTCAGGTTAAGTCTTATTTTCGGGAAAACAGGGTGCTAAAATATTAGTTTGTTTAAGAAACACAGATAAAGTTAGAGCCTTTTCAGGCATACCACATCTATCCAGTTCAGTGGGTCTAATAAATGTCAATTAAGAATTTATGGACTGTTGCTTGAAAAATGTTCTTTATTTTCAAAGTGACCTATTATTTCATATGTATATATGAAGAATGCACAAATCTATGGCCAGGAATAGCCTTTGCCAGTATTTTGGTTCTGGATGGTGGATGCATAGACTGTAACTGTTAGTAATGAAATATTAATGTCTAATCCATTAATGAAATCTTTTTATAAATCTCAACTGTTTGCTTCTCTTCAGGCCAAGACTCATGTCCTTGATATTGATCAGCGTCTACAGGGTGTAATTAAAAACAGGAACAGGGTAAAGGGCTTGCCTTTATCAATTGAAGGACATGTTCACCATCTTATTCAAGATGCAACTGATGAAAACTTACTTTGCCAGATGTACCTTGGCTGGGCTCCATACATGTGAAGTGCTGCCATAAGCAAATTAATTACTGTAACTGACTTTTTAAAAAGACGATTGAGGGGAAAAAATCCACAATTGTAACTGTTACTACAATTTCTCCTTTGGTAATTACTTCTACTATAAGTGTGTTTCAAGCTATGCACATTTTCTGTTTATTTTATATCATTGTATATAAATATTTTTGTTTGTATATTTGAAGACACATTTATACAGTGAAGCCTTTTTAATGGTTTGAATATTCAGTGCACTATATTTCTATTTTGTACTGCCATACATTAAAATGGCATATGCATAAAAATAGCAAATGCCTGCTTTTGGTGTTATTACTTTGGCTACTGCATTTCACTTATTAGGCACAGATAAGATCTGAATCAAATTTGAACTTCAGTGCAGAGGTCCTGGTAAAGATTTAAAAAATAATAATACAAACTTCCATGCTGGACAGAGTGCCAAATAAAGTTGATGTCACTTTAAATAGTCCTACACATTCTGTTAAGGTACAGGACTCCAGTTGCTATTTATGCCAAATTGTTGCCATTTAGGCATTGCATAGAGCAGGGGATCTCCAAACGTTTCACAGTGAGGGTCACATAATATATTTTCCACATTTTCGAGGGCTGAATGAATGCACGCGGGTACGCATGGACCAGAAAAAAGGCAAGGCGTACCGGATACTTTGGAGACCCCCAGTATAGCGTATCCGACAGGACTGGCTACATAAACTTCAGTGCTTTGTTGTGCAGTCAGAAGTGTTGCCATGTAACTGGAAGAAAAACTTCATGTCCTGCTGATACAGCATTAGAAGTACCTTCATTTGGGGAAATGACCAGTCCTTTCCTAATATTTGTAGATTCCACTGCTGTCACAGAGGATTTAAAAGTTATTAAACATCAGTTCTCATTCCATGTATACTAATACAATGGTTAACAATAAAATGTCCAGTCCTTTCCTAATATTTGTAGGTTCCACTGCTGTCACAGAGGCTTTAAAAGTTATTAAACATAAGTTTATTTTATTTATTTATTTATTTATTTATTTTATTTCTATCCCGCCTCCATGTATACTAATACAATGGTTAACAATTTTGGCTAGTACCCAACTGGATATTTATGCTGGCATAAATATACTGGCATAAGACAAAGAGATGAATAGCTGCTAATGAACAAGTCCCCAACAGACTTTCTAGTTGCATCTTGAATCATGCAGTAGTGGTTGCATGACTAGCAATTCAGTCAGGGACTTATCAATTGAAGTTATGCCATCGCACATACACTGGCCTTTAATTTTGGGGATTAGCCACTTTATACTTATAATCAATTCCCTCCCCTTTCCGCTGGCAGAGCCTTGTGGACGGAGCCTTGCAAGAGTGAAGAGATGCAAATGAATACAACTCGGTGCTTCTTACCAAATAAAGCTCAGCCTGCAGAATTTACTTCTTTATCTTATTTATGTTCTGCTCCGTCAGTGAACACACTACTCTGGGCAGTTTACAATACTTCAGAATCCCAGAGACCTCACATAGCAATACATATAACAGTATGTCGGTTTTTAACAAATCATAAAGAAGAAATAGCCGGGTAGGTGCGGCTCATCAGCCATGGAAGGCAGCCCATCTAGGAGAAGGAAAACTCCAATTTCAAACCTCCACTGCCTTGTGGCTATATCCACTCATGGAAAAGGCTTCAGGAGTTAACCTCGAGGCAAAATCCGGAGCTGGAGTCCCGAAGGCAGCATGTGTCGTTCTGCCAACTCCTGCGACATTGCTGGAACCAGTTGTATTGGCTCTTGCCTTTCCATTGGACCATTTCAGCAATGTGGAGAGGGGGGATCTGCTGCTTGGGTAACAGCCTATCCTCCATATTACCTTACCCGGGCTTCATGCTCTGGAGAGGACACGCCTCGATTCAGAGCATGTTACCATAGTCTCTCGAGACTGAAGGATGCCTATGCATGCAAAGAAGAAATAAGAAAAGTAAAATATTAACATCATCTGAGAGACTCAATTATTAAAGGCAGCTTTGGATAATTATGTTTTCAATAATGTCCTCAATATAAGGAGGGATGGAGCCTGTCATATCTCCACTGGTAACCCATTGCGAAAAAATGGAGGCCACCAGCAAGAAAACCTGATTTCTTATCTTTGCCTTTGAGGTCTCCCTTGGCCTTGGCACCATGGATTGAGAACAGTTAAGTGAAACAGGTATCTCATTTCTGAATGGTGTGATGGGAGCTATGCTACTAAGTTGACATATTCTTAGATCTTAGAACTGCAGCGCTGGAAGAGACCCTGTGGATCATCTAGTTCAGCCCCTGCAAGGAGGCACAATCACTCAGCTATTATTTCTTTCCCTGAATGCCTCAATAAAAATAATGAACACAAATCAAAACAATTATTATGATTGTAGGCGGGCCAGAAGTAAAAACAATGCCAAATAAGATTTCTATAACCTTTTGACATCTTTTTGATTAGTTAGTAAAGTAAGCATTCAAAAAAAGCAAATGCCAAATTTTGAAAAACAGTGCTGATTTTGAGGAACAGTCCCCACCGCCATTTGGCAAATATAGTATGGCATCTCCTGGAACATAACAAGTCTATGAAGGACAATAGAAAGCAATGGGTTAAAAAAAAGTGATTCTGTCTGGAACAAGTGGGATGTCAGAAGGCACTGGGCTCCTCCATAACTCTTTGACCCAAGCCCTTTCTTCCCATGTTATTAAGTTATTTTCGGTTGCTTGTTAAGTGTTCGCTTTCTCTCTGTTTAGTTATGCGATGCTGTCTTGTTCTGCAGGACATTACAGGAAAGCAAATTTCGTAAATCGCATTTCAAAAAAAAGAGAAAAGATTTGACGTCAGCAGCCTATGTGCGTGCGGGATGAAAGAGACAGCAATTGGAAAAAAAAAAACAGCGGTTTAGCGTCTCCCTGAACCCACACCCTCCGCTGCGGTTTCACTTCTGGCAGGAGGTTTTCGCGACGAGCGATAAAACTGCCGCCTGCAGTTCCCCGTGGTTCCGGGAGAGGGCAGTCGTTGCTCTCGCTCGCGGGCAGTCGTTGCTCTCATTCGCTCTCCTTCCTGCCTGCTCGGTGTATTTCTCAAGGCTGACTCGGCCGCTCTAGCCAGAGCCGCTCTATGACTGTTTCGGGGCCCTTGGCGGAAGGAAGCGGTTTGCTTCTTGAGGGAAGGGGACGAGGGAGGTTGTTTTGGGTCTGGCAGGGCTGGTGGGCGCTTGCCGCGGGGGTCGCTGAGGTAAAGAAGGAACACGAGTCGCGGTCATGGGGGTGCCTAAGTTTTACCGGTGGATCTCGGAGCGGTATCCTTGCCTCAGCCAAGTGGTGAAGGAGCACCAGGTGAGCCGCGGGACGGGCGGGCGGGCTGTTGACTCTCTCTCTCCTGCTTCCGTGAAGGGTTGGCGGTGGGCTCGTCTTCCCTCTGCCTGCCCGGGGGGGAAGGGGACGGTTCTCCGTCTCGAATGCAGCGCCTGACGTGACAGGTAGGTCCGCTGTGGGTGTCCCCTCGCCTGGCCCCTCTTCTCCCTTCTGGGAGACTCTCCGAAACCCTTGCGTGGACGGACCCCTTCGGCTGGACGCGGCTGACCCTGAAAGGGAAACCCCCCCTCCGTTGCACAGTGTTCGCTCACACGAAATTGAAACCCCGAGAAGGACGTTTGGGAGGCTTCGGACAACAGCCGTGACAGAAAACGCAGACGAAGCGTTCTGTGGAACCGGAAGGCGCCTCCCTCAGAATCGCCACTCGCGTGCCCTGTAGCGGACCCGACGGTGGTTTTGTTGCATCTGCAAGCAAGCCCTGTTGCTCCGTCGGAAAGTCAAGTTTATTATAATAAACGTTGATCCCTTTTGCATATGCATATCAGGGGTAAGGAGAAGAGTATTAAAAATCACCATCCTCTATTTTATTTTTGAATATAAATACCTGATTGGAAAGATGAAAGTGGTGGGAAATTATCGAGATTCTTCAGTGGGGATCAAGTAGTGACTTTGGAGCTATAGGGAGTCCAGAATTAAAAGTTTATTCTCTGGACAAGACGATAATACTGGGAAGGGTTGAAGGCAGCAAGAAAGTAAGTTGGAGGTGACTTGATCACAGTAACAACAACAGGGATAAGTTCCACTGAACTGCTGCATCTGATAAATATTTCCTCTTGTCATGTTATTCTGATAATCGAACCTTTGTAATGAAGTTACTGCTTTAAACATCCTGCATCTAATGAGGTGGGCTGTAGTAGGAAAAGCTTTTGCACAGTATAGTCTTCACAGTGATGGAACACTGTTGTTTTTTCTTTCTTTAAATAATTATGAACTGCTTTGGATTTTGGGTAGCATCCTTTTTTTCACAAAGCTACCATTGCAAAGCTCTTAGTATGGTTGCAGTAGTTAATAAATTTCAGGAATATCACATTTTCACTTAAGTTCTGCACTTTATGTGTACACTGGAAAGCAAGTCTTACATTTACTTACTCCTGAATAAATGTGCTTAGGGTTGAAGTGCTTAATACAGATGTTTTGCTTCCTGCTCAGACATTGGTTTTGTTGGTATTTTATTTTAATTAAAATTAAAAATACAATATCCCCATTCATTCTCATTTAATGTCAGTAACACATTGCATTGTTCCTCACATTATTTTTCAATGAATTCAAGATGTAACATAACATCCACTTATCAGAGTTCAGTAAAGTTAATCTCAGAGTAGACATGTACGTATAGAATCATAGTCATTAAAAGTGGCCATAGTACTGACATCTCAATGTATAGCTTATCCTAATGACTTACTACAGTTGTATTTTGTTCTTCCACTGAAATAAGTAGCATTTAAGCCTTGCAGCAGCTTTGTAAGTTAGCTTCAGCTGGGCTAACTGGTTATGTTTTATGAAATCCTTCAAGCTCATTTAATAGCTGAACAGGGGTTTCAGCTTGGATGTCTAATGCTTGAAGCTCAGCAGCACTCCAGTTCAACACATTTCTGGCACTATATATGAGTCCAAAGTTTCTAATGAGTGTGTTTTCATGAACAAAAAAAAGTGTAGTTAATTATTAACATAAAATTAAGCATTCTGGCCAGAAAAACACAGGTATAATTCACTCCTGTCTCCACTAGGCAGGTAGGGAATACTCACAAAATTCTGCCTTCTTACTGATTTGCATTGACAAATAATTTTCCAGGCCCACAATATGCCTTATCATTTCTTCAAAGTGAGTCAAGAAATACAATTTTTTTTCTTTCTAGGAATTTTGTAATTTATAAAACTGTTTTTCTGCAAAACCAGAGAGAAACAGAGTGTTCACAAACAACAAGCATGAAATGATTGTTATGTAGTAATCATTGGCAGAAGAGACATAATGTAACTCACAGCAGCTGATTGCTGCTACTTATTGAGTCCCTGCTTGGATTCATGCTAACTGGCATGCAATAATGAAGATGAGTGGAAACTCATTGATTAGCAGCAGTTGTCAACCACAAATTGTACAATTTCTTTTCTGCTGATATAAATGCAGAGTAAAGTTTGAGCCATTTGTGCAGTTTTGCTTAATTTGGGGGAAAATCTTGTTCTTACTCTGTTGAGAACATCACAAAATACCTGTAAGGATAAGAAATATGATTTTTTTATTAAAAAATCACTCTTTTATACAGGGTAGATACAAATCAATGATTGATTTAAATAATTGTGTTTTTTATTTAAATAGTTTATTTAAATTATCATTTAAATCAATTGATTTAAATCAAATCCAGCCTGCTATTATGCCAGGATAAATCAAGAGAGTACTGACATCCTTTATCTCTGTGCAGTGGGGAAGGGCACTGATCCTGGTAGTGATAATTATATTTCTTTGTGTTTACTGGGGTTATCTTCTCAAAATATTTAATAATATCTTGGCTTTGTGACTCCTGATCTATTATGATAAATTGTAACTAAGTGTTGATGAGTGGCATAGAATTTGAATCTCTGGAGGTATTCAAATAGGCAGAAGGGGAAGGGGAGATAATGGCCAGAATCCTACTTGTTATATCAGGAACAGTTATTGCTACAGTTCATACCAATGCAATTATTCTGTTCGAAATCAGTAAGATTCTTGTCAGTGAGCAACAGAATATTCTTCTTCGTGGCCTCTGTGAATCCACACAAATGGATTTTGACTGTGCTTGCGCAGGGCTCCTCGGAATATTTTAGAGCTTAAAACAATTGATTAATAGTACGTTGCTCTGTGTCGTGCATGCTCTGCCCGCCCGTTATATCTCAGTTCCACTGCGATTGGACTTATGCTAGAGCTATCTTTCTCCAATCTTCTGGTTTTTGATTCTGGACTGTTTTTTCTGATTACTCGCTGTATTTCTGGAAATTTTGACCTTGGATTGTCTACGGATTACGTTTTTGGATTTCGATTGTACGTTGTCTTCTGGTTTTTGATTACGTACTGTTTAACGATTCCTGCCTTTGGATCATGGACTGATTTGAAAGTGATTTGTGTGGATTCACAGAGGTCCACTTGAAGAACCATGGTTACAGGTAAGTAACCTGTCTTTTTCTATCATCATTTCTCGGCTACTGATTGGCTACATTGAACAATTCTTTCCAGTTCCGTGATTCCTTTTTTCCCTTCTCCCTACTCCTTCCGGGGTTTGAATAGTTTTATGGCCTCCTCAGGCCCGTTTAAGCATGTACCTCATGTGCTGGTAAAATTCCATCCACAGACGGTCATGACTGTTATTTATTTTGCTTGGGGGAGAGGCATCAAACTCACTCCTGTCAGGAGTGCAAGAAGCTTACCAAGCCGGCCCTCAAGTTGCGCTTACAGAGGCTTAGGTCTTAGGTCTGGGAAAAGTCACTTTCCCCATCAAAACCAACAGATATGGAGTTGGTCCCAGCCCTGCCGTCTACTCCTCATCCTGAGCCCACAGTGTCATCAGTACCAGCCACTCCATCACCAAGATCATCTTCTAAATCCACTAAACAAAAATCATGGGTATCGGTACTAAAGGAGACTTCAACGTCAACTTCCAGCTCGATGTTGAGGCCTCCATCTGCAAAAAGCCAAAAGAAAAAGAAAACTTCAACTAAGCAAAAGAAGGACAAGCATCCGTCTAAGACTGCTCAACCCCGAGACATTCCTCCTGTCTCTGCCTCACTGCCATTGCTCTTATTGGAAGAGTTTTCTCAGGATCTAATGGATCCAGACTCTCTTTCAGAAGGTGTCGGTTCCATATCACCTTTACGGGCTCAGGCTTCGGTGTCAATTCTTTTTTGCTGTGGGTGATGGTTGGAGTTTTTGTGTAGGTACTGGTCTGTGTGGGTGGGTTTTCTGTAGACCTTGTGTCCCAATAGGAGGTTAGTTTTGCGTAGGACCATGACATTTAAGAACGGGAGTTGGCCCTCTATTTCTCCCCCCCCATGGTGAATTATATATTTGAGTGGATGCTGTTGAGATCGTTTAGAAATTCTTCCAGTTTTACTTCACCGTGGTTCCAAATTGCGAAGGTGTCATCCACATATTGGAACCAGACTGTGGGTGCGAAGGGTGCTGAAGCCAGGGCCTGTTTTTCAAAATGCTCCATGTAGAGGTTTGCTATAACCGGGCTGAGAGGGCTCCCATGGCCATCTGTCTGTTCATAAAATTCATTATCCCATTGAAAATAGCTGGTATTTATTGATTGATTGATTGATTGATTGATTGATTGATTGATTGATTTATTGATTTATACATACCGTGCCTATCTGGTCAAAACGACACTCAAGGGGAGAGTGTCCTTATTGGTACCTTAGTGAATAGGGATACTATGTCAAAGCTGATTAATCTGTACCTAGGGTTGAGTTTTAGGGTGCTGATCTTGCTTATGAAATGTCCTGAGTCTTTGATGCAGGATGAAGTTTGTCCAATATGGGTCTGCAGGAGGGTCGTTAGGTATTTGGCTAATTCATATGTTTGGGAGCCGATGGCACTTAAAATGGGCCTGAGTGGGATTGAGTCCTTGTGGATTTTAGGGAATCCATATAGTCTTTGTGGGAGAGCTTCTGTCTTGCAGATTTGTTGAAGGACATTGGGGTGCAGGGAGGAACTCCTGATCAGCATGTTTGTTTGTTCTGTGATTTTGTTGGTTTGGTCCTGTTTCAGTTTTCTGTAGATGGTGGGATCTAGAAGTTCCCTGATTTTGTCCTTGCATTCTTCTGTTTCCATGATTACTGTGGCGTTGCCTTTTTCTGCTGGCAGGATGGTGATGTCCGCGTCTGAGTTCAGGGACTTGATAGCATTTCTCTCCTTTCTTGTTACGTTGCTTTTTGGGGGTTTTGCTTTTCATAGGATCCTAGTCTCTTGACCTCTTATTTCTTCTGGAATATGATATAATGCTGATTCCATGTTGGCAATTATGTCTTCCACAGGAATTTTACTGGGTGTGACTGCAAAATTTCCTCCTTTGGCTAAGACTGAGGTTTCTTCTGGGGAGAGTTGTCGTTCCGATAGGTTGATGATGATGCACGAGGTGTCTAGTGTAGGTTTTTGTTGGCTTGTTTGGCATTTGCTGAATTTCTGTTTTTTGCCTGGTTGTGTGGTTCGCCATTTCTTTTTCCATCTTTCTGAGAGAGAGAGTATCGATCTTGTCTCAATCTTGACTTCTCATTTTTTTGGCTGATATTGATGTGTAGGCATAGTAGTTCTTTGTATGTGGAATCCAGTTTTTTGTGGGTTGTGTGGATTCTTTCCCGTAGGAGGGCATGTTCCAGGCGATCGTAGATGCAGCTGGCCTGTGGGGAAATGATGGTCCTTTTCGTCCTGAGGAAGGCTGGTATGGTTTTTGTGTCTCTGCAGCATAGTAAAAATGTTAAGGAACATAGTAGGTGTGCTCTTTTGCTTCTGAGTGTTTCGAGTCTCCGGGTATGTCTGACTGTTTCCTCCCCGTAGAGGTGTTCAATGTATTTGCGAAGGATTTCATGGCCAGGATCTAATGGTTATTGTGGGTTTTTCGGGCTCTTTGGCCGTGTTCTGAATGTTGTTCTTCCTAACATTTCGCCAGTCTCTGTGGCCAGCATCTTCAGAGGACAGCACCAGTCTCTGTGGCTGGCATCTTCAGAGGACCACTGAAGAAGCCGGCCACAGAGACTGGCGAAACGTCAGGAAGAACAACCCTCAGAACACGGCCAAAGAGCCCGAAAAAACCACAACAACCACTATGTGTATTCATTCCCTCAGAAACAGATTTGGCAGATTTTTTGAGCAATAGGGTTTTTGACGGTATAAGAGATGGGAAAACTAGAAGGCAGCAGGAAAACAGGAAGACCAAATACAAGATGGGTTGACAAGAGCTGAGCAGGACAGTTGAAGACAGGACATTTTGTAGAGTGCTTAATTAAAAGGTCGCTATGAGTTGGAGTGTGTATTCATTCCCTCAGAAACAGATTTGGCAGATTTTTTGAGCAATAGGGTTTTTGACGGTATAAGAGATGGGAAAACTAGAAGGCAGCAGGAAAACAGGAAGACCAAATACAAGATGGGTTGACAAGAGCTGAGCAGGACAGTTGAAGACAGGACATTTTGTAGAGTGCTTAATTAAAAGGTCGCTATGAGTTGGAGGCGATGTAGCAGCATATAACAACAGCCACAATAGGTGTTGAATATACCTGTAAAGTGTTTAATGTACTGTGTTTTTTGAAAATCATTAGATATTGTATATCTTGCCCTGGGTTTTATTACTGGTATTCTTGTTACCTGTTGTATGAATAGGTTCCTTTTATGTTTTTCTGTGGTCAAATTATCAGATCTGATGCTGCATCCAGTAATTGCACTGATTCTGTAATTATGGAGAGGTTGCTATCCATAGAGGTGTTGTGGTGTTTCAGGAGAGTTTTCAACAAATATTGTAAAATATAAAAATGAGTCTACTTCTTCTACAAATGTCTAAAATAGGCAAATAAGTCTATAATTATAGCTCCAGTTTATAGCTTACAAAAATTGTTTGGTATTCAGTGGTATTCTTTATATTTATATTATGTTTTAAATTGTTGTTGAAATATTCATACCAGACTGTATTTTATTTATTTAGATTAAAGACTTGTTCTTTTTCTTGAAGATTGGTTGCAGTTGTTAGAAATAGACATCAGAATCCTTTTTAATCCTCTCTAGATATGCATATTTGAAAAGGACATTTTAGGAAGCTGAGGCTTTCAAGCTACATCTCTTAGGAAAAGTATGGTTCAGTGAGGCTCTTTGTGTATCTTTTTACCAAAATGTAATTATCTCTTTCATGGAATGAAGAGTTTGTTTTTCCTAAGTAGGAATGAAGAATGATTACTGAAATATGTGATATTTGATCCTGTTTGTTAAAAACCAGGGGGGAGGGGGAAATATCTTTATTTTTCAAACATTACCTGCATTTGTGTATATATCACAACATTCATTTTAAAAGTTTGCAGTTCTGCTGAATTTTTAGCACTGGACATTCACCTTGTGTTGGTAAGAAGATAGGTTTTGTTTAAATTCTTTATTTTCTCTGTCTCAGGCTCTCAAGACAATGCTGTTACTGAAGACAGTATTGTGGATTTACCTGCTGTTTGTATGTATCCTAGTAGTAAAGGAGTAAGATTATCCAATTTTTATGAAAATGAGGAATTTGTAACTCTTCAAAAGTTCACTCTTCAAAAGTGTTTCTCCCAGAACAGAGTATTTGTCCTCCAACATGGAAAATAAAGTTTTCAGCTTACATTTAGAACTATATCATCAGGGATTATAGTGGATAATTTATAATCAGACAGGTGAATAATTGCTGATTTTCTTAATTATTGTTTCCTAGATTCCAGAATTTGATAACCTCTATCTGGATATGAATGGTATAATTCATCAGTGTTCACACCCCAATGATGATGATGTTCACTTCAGAATTTCTGAAGACAAGATCTTCGCTGATATATTTCATTATCTGGAAGTATTGTTCCGCATTATTAAACCACGCAAGGTTTTCTTTATGGCTGTTGATGGAGTAGCTCCAAGAGCAAAAATGAACCAGCAGCGTGGCAGACGTTTTAGGTGTGTGCATTGCCACAGTTTTCTTTTGCTTGGTTTCCTTGGTGTTTGTCCATGGCAATTTTAGCATTTCTGTTGCTAACTGGATAATAATTTCCTTTGTTCCAGGAAAGCTATAGTCCTTCCTTTTAGATGGCCCTGCTGATTAAGCTGAAATTGGTATTACTGATCCATCTTCTCCCTAAATTTTCTAGGTGCCTCAAAGCATTTGAACACTTTCAGAAAGCATTGCTCTCCCCAGTTGCTTTCTAAGGAAAAGGCTAGGTGGGAGAGGAAGTATGTAAAAGAAGTTGGGTGTTGCTTCCCAAACATGAACTAGTCATCTTTGACCAGAGGGCAGTAACACCCTTGTCATGGCAAGCATAATTGTCTTTATTCTCTTTCACTGGTCTAGTTATTTGTTGTTATTTCCCTTCAAGTAAGAACCAACATATAGTGACTCTAACAGGGCTTTCAAGATACGTGAGATATTTAAGATATGTGGGATATTTATTTAATATCTCTATCTTAACGTGAGCTATCTGGCTGGTGGAATAGCTTAGTGATTTAGATATCTGGCTGCAGAGCCAGAGGTTGGTAATTCATTTTCCCTCCTTGAGTAAAGTCAACCTGTGTGGCTTGGGCAAGCTGCACAGTCCCAGGGTGCTCCCAGAAGAAGGCAATGGTAAACTACTTCTAATTAGTCTCTGCCTGGAAAAACCTGAAATGGGTTGCTGTAGGTCAGAATTGACTTGATGGCACATTGTAAGTTTCTTTAATCAGTTCCACACCCCCAATGAGTTTCCATGTTGAGCAGAGTTTTGAACCCAGACTACCTGAGTCCCACTCCAATACACTGGGTATCCTGCAATAGTTATACTGTTCACTTTATTTAATTGTGAGTTTTTAGAGGAAGGGGCTGATATAGTTATGCTGCTGTGAAAGAAGATAGCATTACTCAGAGCTTGGTCAGTAGTATGCAAAATTGGAGTCTCAGAGATGCTAGAGAGTTAGTGCCATTGGACACAAGTGGAGTTTTGTCCAAGTAAACATGAATAGGGTTGCACTACAGCAGTGCAAGATGCAAAGCAAGAATTTCTATAGTGAAATTTTGCATCTGTCTGTAAAATCACTAAGGATGTAAACCACTTTACCTCTCTTTTTAAAATTCTCTTGTCTTTACTATGGAGATACTACTCACTAATTATTATGAAAATATTAACGTAGTTTGTATTAAACGATTTCAGCTATCTACAGCACTAAAATGTGAAATGTTATTTTAGGTCAGCAAAAGAGGCAGAGGACAAAATAAAGAAAGCACTGGAAAAAGGAGAAATCCTTCCCACAGAAGCCAGATTTGATTCCAACTGTATTACCCCAGGTAAGGAAATTTGTTCCGTGTTTAATCTTGTTGCCTTTAAGTGCAAAGGTGCATTAAAGAATAAGGTTTTGGAACTTCTATAAATCAAAAGTCTCAAATTATTAATTCAGAGGGACTGTTTAGGGGGGGTGTTATGAAATATGAAAATTGCAACAAATCAATATCAAGCTGATATGGCTAGTATTCTGGTCAGAGCCAGCTGATTGTAATGCTCCACTAGTGTAACAACATCTACTCGTGTAGATGTTTCTCTTATACAAGTGGAAACCTCATTACATTGTGTTGAGTTACACTATGCAAGGAGCTCCTAGATACTTCATAAGCTCCTTCAAAGTCCAAATGCTCGCATTACAATCATTGCACAAGCAGTTTGCTTGGAACAAAATCTTGGCCTGTGTGATTGATCTCTTAGGTTGCACCACTAGAATAGTCCACAGAATGTCACTGTTCAGTGCTATGGTTATAATGACAAATGCCTGTCTTTATTCGTGGGCAACTCTAACTAAGGGTGCAACTACATGGTGGAGAAGGTACGTGGTGCCGCGGCGGGTTAAACCGCAGAAGCCTTTGAGTTGTGAGGTCAGAAGACCAGCAGTCATAAAATTGAATCCACGCGATGGAGTGAGCTCCAATCGCTTTTCCCAGCTCCTGCCAACCCAGCAGTTCGAAAGCAAGTAAATGCGAGTAGATAAATAGGTTCCGTCTTGGTGGAAAGGTAACAGTGTTTCATGTCTAGTCCTGCTGGTCATGTGACCACGAAAACTGTCTACGGACAAATGCTGGCTCTACGGCTTGGAGACGGGGATGAGCACCATGCCCTAGAGTTGGACACAACTAGACTAAATGTCAAGAGGAACCTTTACCTTTACCTTACATGGTGGGCAGAATGTGAAAGGATTTACTATTTCCTTGGGTTAATTTGCTTCAGCCAACTGCATAGGACTCAGAACAGAGAGGGCAAGAAATCAGCCTTGTTTGGAACCTGTTGAATGTATGAATCCTCACCTTCTCACACCTGGAACCTGGGCATGCTTGTTTCTCTCTTCCCTTCCCATTTCATATTTTCTTTCTTTTCTCTTCTTTCTTTGTTTAGCCTAACACTAAGATCAAAGAGGGAAATAAAGAGCAAGGAATTGGCAGAGAGACAGGAGGAACTTTCACTTCAGGCTTGTTTCCAGCTTGCTAAGGTTAAAAAGAGAACTGGGCAGAGAGAGAGAGGAGGAAGCTCTGACAATCCAGATTTGCAGGAAGTGCAGTTGGAGCATACCGTATTTGCCGGTGTATAAGGCGACTGGGTGTATAAGACAGCCCCCAACATTCCCACTCAGAATGTAGAGTTTGTTATATACTTGCTGTATAAGACTACCCCCTCTTCTGCATGCATGATTCTGCTTTGGCTGCATCATGGGGAGAGTTCCTTTTGCCCCTTTTGGTTCCTTTTCGGAGAGAGCCAGGGTTTGCTGGAAGAAGGAACAGTAGAGAGGCGGCAGCCATTTTGGAGAGGCAGCAGCCATCTGGTCGCATCTCAAAATGACAGCTGTTCGGCGCTAGAGTCAGGCTGTTCCCAGGCTAGGAGCGGGGCTCTACTCGGTCTTACTACCAGGCAAGTGACTTCGCTGGGACAGAGGGAGGGTTTGCTAGACATGCACCTGGCGTACAAGATGACCTCCCGCACTTGGAGACATGCTTTTCAGGGCCAAAAAGTCATCTTGTACGCCGGCAAATACGGTAGCTACTTTAAACCTTTCTCTCCTCTCTCTGCACAGTCCTTGTTCTTTTTCCCCTCTTTGATTGCCTAGCTGCCTTATCCCTAGGTCATGTGTCATCAAGTCAGAAACAAATTATAGTGATCCTAATAGGGCTTTCAAGGTAAGTGGCTACAGACCCCTGCACATGGGCTCAAGTGACCACACCTGCTCAACCAATGTGAATGCATTTGATTCTAAAAAAATGAAGCCCAGGAATGAAGGAAAAAGTATGGATTAGAGGAAGAAACTTCAGGCTGAATTGCATTAACTTCTGTTATGTAGTCAACAGAAAATAATGCAAATCAGACTGTCCCTATCTCAGAGCTTTTTCTGCGTTATTTGTCAATGTGGTCACACCCTAAATCTGTAATTTATAGAATTTGCTTATAGTCATAGTGAGCTGAAATTTTGTTTCAGGATTTTTTAAAGCTCAGAGCAGTTTGGTCACAGACATTAAAATTTTAAGCTTAATGACAGACCTTTCATAGGTTTTGATTCATTGTTTAAGTCTCTAGCTTTAAATCACAAAATAAGGTGTGCTGAACAAAGTAAAATACTTGAAACAAAAAAAGCATTAAAGTCATGACATAGAATATGAGCATAAATGCTGAATATTCTAGGTACACTTTGTTGCCTTTCATGGCACAATGATCAGATAGGTCACTTTACCTTGTGATGAAAAGAAACAAATGTGCATAAACAAATAATACTCCCTTCTCTGGATTGAGAGGATAGTTCAAAGGTTACTATGTTTTTGAGCAGCCATTTTATGAGACAGAAGGCGAGAGGGATACCCCACTTGCCAGAGAACCATCCCTTCTCAACAGCAAGGATAAGGAAGCGAGACCCAAGCTCGCACCAGAACCTACAGAGAGACCACAACAAGAGCCAGAAATAGAGGAACTGACAGAAGAGGTGCAGAAAGTGACTATGGGGAAGGTTCAGGAGGAAAAGGCGGGAAAGGAGAAGAAAAAGAGGGTGGAGTTTGAGGCAAACTCAAAAGGAGGGAAGAGCAGTTGCTGCCCGGTTGGGAATGGGTGTGGAAGAGGATCACTGGATGGGATTATTGGAGAGGCTAAGAGTGCCTAAGGAAGAGGCAGATTATAGAAGGAGAACGGAGATTCCACCCAGACTCTGTTATTGGGAAGAAGCTGAGGTGAGAGATTGGAGAAGGAGATTGAGAGAGGAGAAAGAAAGAGTTGAGAGAGAAAGTCGAGAGAGAACCATCCCTTCTCAACAGCAAGGATAAGGAAGCGAGACCCAAGCTCGCACCAGAACCTACAGAGAGACCACAACAAGAGCCAGAAATAGAGGAACTGACAGAAGAGGTGCAGAAAGTGACTATGGGGAAGGTTCAGGAGGAAAAGGCGGGAAAGGAGAAGAAAAAGAGGGTGGAGTTTGAGGCAAACTCAAAAGGAGGGAAGAGCAGTTGCTGCCCAGTTGGGAATGGATGTGGATAGAGGATCACTGGATGGGATTATTGGAGAGGCTAAGAGTGCCTAAGGAAGAGGCAGTTTATAGAAGGAGAACGGAGATTCCACCCAGACTCTGTTATTGGGAAGAAGCTGAGGTGAGAGATTGGAGAAGGAGATTGAGAGAGGAGAAAGAAAGAGTTGAGAGAGAAAGTCGAGAAAGATTGGAATGGAGAGTAAGGGAGATGAAGAGAGGAAGTTACTGGGAGGATCCTGGTAGAGCCAAGACCACAAGAGACAGATCCTATGGGATGATGACCTGGACAACAAGACCGTGCCCCTGTTGGAAGGCCCAACAGGGCAGACCTTAAGAGACTGAGTCCCCACAGATCTACCGGGACCATGGAACAATAGTTATGGAAATCCCTTCCTGTTTGAAGATTGGAAACCCCTTCCAGACCCGTTGGCAGAAGGAGAAAAGACTCACAATCATGTTCCAGACACTTGTTTATTGTTAAATCCACCAATAAATCTTTAACCTGTTTTGAAGCAACAAAAATCTACTGATTTCATTGAGCCGAACCTGGAGCCAAAAGTCAAACCCTCACACATGTCCCGAAAAAAAGGAGAGAAAAAAAAGGGAGGCCATATAGCAAGAGAGAAAAAAAAACTAAACTAATCCCTCTATCTGAAGTACCCCCCCCCCGGAGCTGTTGGAAGGCCCAATGGGGCAGACCGTAAGAGACTGAGTCCCCACGGATCTACCGGGACCATGGAACAATAGTTATGGAAATCCCTTCCTGTTTGAAGATTGGAAACCCCTTCCAGACCCGTTGGCAGAAGGAGAGAAGACTCACAATCATGTTCCAGACACTTGTTTATTGTTAAATCCACCAATAAATCTTTAACCTGTTTTGAAGCAACAAAAATCTACTGATTTCATTGAGCTGAACCTGGAGCCAAAAGTCAAACCCTCACGCATGTCCCATAAGAATTTTTTTTTAATAATCAATTTTATTGAATTTTTAACATATAAAAAAACCACAAGATATCAAAAAAGAAAAAGAAAACCAGAACAAAGAGACAGAAAAAAAGGAGAGAAAAAAAAGGGAGGCCATATAGCAAGAGAGAAAAAAAAACTAAACTAATCCCTCTATCTGAAGTACCCCCCCCCCGGAGTCAAAGATTCCAGCCTCGTTAGTCCTCTATTCTCCCTATATCTGTTTACACCATTTACTAATAAGGTTCTACATATATCCTAAATTTCACCCTAAACTTCAGTCTTCTTCTGGGCCCAGAGATATATTAGTCCCCAGCTTTGTTTTACATAATCTCTTGGCTGTTCCCGCAATGCTTCTGATAGAGTGTCCAACTCTGCCATGGTCCCATAAGAATTTTTAACAAGTCTTATAAAAGAAAAGTCAAATTTCATATTTCCATTTGTTTGTATTGTACAGTTACTCCTTAAGTGTTTTTGTTCCTTCTCTTATTTTTATGCAAGAAATACTAATTTTATATAGGAAGTAATATATTTTTGTGGGTCAGGTAGAATTCTGATATGAAAAGTTCAGTGCAATTATTTCTCCAGGAAATACAGATCAGCACATTTTAATACATGCACATCTCTGGGGCTCTCTTAATTGGTCATAGGAAACTTTGTTTTATATAAATACTGTAACTTAGTATTGTGTGGAAATATTATTTTTGAAAAAAGTGTTGTAATTTTATTCATTGTTCATCTTTTTAATTCAAAATACTTGTATTAATTTTAACATTTCAGTGTATGAAGTTGTAATTTTTATATTTTGGTTACTAGGGACTGAATTCATGGCTAGGCTGCATGAACATCTGAAGTATTTTGTAAACATGAAGATTTCTACAGACACATCCTGGCAAGGCATAACTGTCTACTTATCAGGCCATGAGGTTATGCATTACATTAATAATGATTTCTTAAATTAATTTTTAACAAGGTTGTGTTTACTAACTTACTTTTTTATTCCCATTCAGACACCAGGAGAAGGGGAACATAAAATTATGGAGTTTATAAGATCAGAAAAAGCAAAGCCTGACCATGATCCAAACACAAGACACTGTCTGTATGGTTTAGATGCTGATTTGGTATGTTCCAGTTCAAAATGTATACATGGTTTGTTTGGAAATAAATGGAATTCTAGATTATAAACGTGTATGTTTCCAGAGAATTTCGGATTGCACAAAATATTTTCACATGTGCAATGAAATTTCTTACTCTCTCAACTACAACCTTCTGTTCATATCTGGGGTTTGAAATTAGCTAATTCAGTGTGTGGCATTTACTATTGAAAAGAGGGGTTTTGATAATACCATTGGAACCATGGACATCAGTGACATTTTTTCAGATCAGGATTTACTGCCAATGTTGTGAGAATCCATAGTGTAAAGTTTACCAAAGGTTGTTGGAATTGTTGATTCTTAAACAGAATTTTTTTTTTTCAACAGATTATGCTTGGGCTGACAAGTCATGAACCACATTTTTCACTTTTAAGAGAGGAGGTCCGATTTGGTGGCAAAAAGTCACAAAGGTAACATGCTGTAGAAATATTGACTAATGCTATAAAAAGGAAATATTAATATGTCTGTTTGGGTGAACTATGATATGTTAAATTTCAGCAAATTAGAAATTCATTTAGATATCGTATGCAGAAAACTTACTGAATTGTGTTCACTAACTACAGAGCATGTGCCCCTGAAGAAACCACTTTTCATCTGCTGCACTTGTCTTTAATGAGAGAATATGTTGACTATGAATTTTCACCAGTTAAAGTAAGTAAAAATGGGCCATGGCCAAAACTGTCAAAGCACAAATGACAATAATTTCTATTAATATCGAGGTCATATTGTCATCTAAAGAGGAACTCTTAGCTTTGCCCCAACTGGTCAAAAATAGTCTAATCTTAACATTTTAATTTGTTTTAATTTTACCTATATTATATATACATCCATCATTAAAAATTTTGTAACACTTTGACATGAATGAAGAAGAAAGATGGCCAAAATACTTTAAAGGTTTATACATAAAATTGAACATGAATTAATGTGTTTATCTTTATTTATCAGGACAAGATTTCATTTGCATATGAAATTGAAAGAATAATAGATGACTGGATCTTAATGGGCTTTCTTGTTGGAAATGATTTTATCCCTCATCTACCTCATTTGCACATTAATCATGATGCACTGCCAATGCTTTATAGAACATACATGGCTGTATTGCCTGAACTTGGAGGTAAGCACATAATTTTTACAGCATACTTCTTGAAAGTGGCTAATACAGTGATCTTCCAGTGTGCTAGAAAGGTGATAGTGGAATTGGAAAGAAAATAATGATTTTAATCTTTTATTTTATTACCTTTGGAAATTATGAACTTTTGTCCAGATTGACTGCCTTCAATATATGCTGGCATTATACTTTTACTCATTTGAATTCTACAGACCCTGGAGGGCCTCTCCTCCACCAGAGTCTTCCAAATGATTGGGGGTCAATTTGGAGTGACTTGAAAACTGTCACTAAAGGCTGAAGGAACAAGAGTAATTTTTTCAAAACTGTTGCTGTGACTTTTTCTCCATTGAGAAGCTTCAGCTAGATCCTAGTTTTCTCTGTGAATGGAACAAGTCCTCCTTGTCTGACAGGGAAAGTCTGGACCCAATCCTATGTGAACTGATCTGTCTCACAGGGTTGCTGTAAGAATAATGCAGGCAGCAGGAGCGACGTTTGTGTTGCTTTGAGCTCACTAGAGCAAAGATAGGATATAGGTATGATAAATAAATAAAACAAAAAATATAATCGGAAGGAAAAATACATCATGGTTACAACCATAAATCATCCTTTTGCTTATCTGATAGGTTATATTAATGAGAGTGGGCACCTCAACTTACCACGGTTTGAGAAATACCTTATAAAACTGTCAGATGTAAGTATATATTCTTTCTACTACCCAAAACTAAAATCACAGCTTGTGTTTTCAGCATGTACATTCCCTCAAGAATTCTGGAAATTTCAACTTTCTTTTTTTCAGTAATATATGTGCAGTTTTCATGAAGGTAGAAGTATGCTTGAAAACTTTGAAGGTAGCTTCACTGAAAGCTACCTTAGGAACAACTTGACATATTTTGGAATTAGGAAAATATTGCATGTACATTTAGCCCATTCTGTACATTTAGTGTATAGAATTGAACAATATTGCATACTGGCCACCGGGTTTACCAGGGAGAGGTGGTGGTCGATCAAATAAATGGGGCATAGACTTGAGTGACGATGGCAGAAACTCAAAGTGAATCTGATTATGCATGAGTTAAGTTAAGATCCAAGCATGATTCCATATCAGTGGAAGTCGCAAAGAAGTTATTTTTCTTTGCCACCGTTGCATCTGCACAGATTCACCCAGTGGAGCTCTTTCAGATGGTCAAGATCATAGAAAATAATGCAAACCACACTGTAGCTCACTATGAAGAATTTGCACAACACTTTACAGGCAAAATTGCTCAGATCTACTCCCGAAGTGGATGCTGTTATTGATTGAGGCCCTATGTATGTAACTAGGACACCTGCCTGCCATGTGTTAATGGATGACTTTCAGTTTATTCAGATTGATGATGTGGTCAAGACCCTTGGGAAAATTAGGGCTACCATGTGTATGCTGAATCCTTGCCCTTCCTGGCTCATCAAAACTTGAAAAAAAAAAGGCACTGGTCTATCGGGTAGGAGGAGTGGTGAATGCCTCCTTGCAACAGGGTAGGATCTCGTTGTGCTTAAAGAAGGCAATAGTAAGACTGTAGTTAAAAAAGCCCTCTTTGGATTCCACAATACTGAATAATTACAGACCCGTATCTCATACTCCATTCATGGGGAAGATGCTAGAACAGGTTGTGGTCCCTCGGCTCCAGAGGTTCCTGTTCCAGCTACATGAGTGACTTTTGGATGGATTGTTAGTAGAGATGGGGGTATTCATATATGAAGATGAATACCCCCGCAAAGCTGGACTTAAGGGCTGGACCATCCACTCACACATCTGCCGGTGGCAGCGACCTCACCCTTCCAATCACTCCCAGAGGCCTGCTAGCCTTTCCTGTCAGTGGGAGGGAGGACAAGTCTTTCTGGAAGGCTGCTGAGTTGCTAGCAGAGCAGGGCTCCGGGAGTGATTGGAAGAAAGAGTGAGGTCACTGCTGCCAGCAGACATGTGGATGGTCTGGCCCCAGGGGGCTGGACGCTCATTAAGTCCAGCTGTGCAGGGGCATTTGTATACGAATACCCCCATCTCTAATTGTTATGCATTTCTGCTTTGACTGGGTCACAACTACCCTATTTCCCTGAAAATAACCTGATAATAAGTCCTAGTTAAGTGAAAGCCCGCCCTCCACCATTGTGCAGCAATCAGAAGATGGCTGTATTTGAATAAACGTAGAATGTTGTACATGAAAAAAAAATCTTCTGAAAATAAGCCCTACTGCTTTTTTTGGAGCAAAAATTAATATAAGACCTTGTCTTATTTTTGGGGAAACACTGTATTACTTCTGTTTATCATCTCTTAAAGTGGTGTTTGTTCCTTTTGGTATTTGCATACTTTCTGTTTTAGCTTCAAATATTGTATTTTAGTGATGTAATCCATTGTTGTATACTCATTGTTTTCAGCTTATTGTTTTTCAGTTATGTTACCCACCTTGAGTTTCTTTTAAGGTGAAAGGTTGGGATTACAATATTTTTAAACAAACAAACAAATAAATAAATAATCTTAATGTTCCAGCATATACATCCAGTCTGAAGAAAGGAAAATCTCCACCTCACATGCAATAAATCAATGTAGAAGCTGAAAAGAGGAGGAGATGAGATACAGTATGATGGGTCAACTGATCCCTCTGCTGTTAAGGAGTTCATGGTGCTTCAAGCTTGCTAAATATGATTTTCTAGTATTTCTGACAACTACTAGGTCACTCAAGAGCCTTAATAGTGAAACAGGCTTAACGCTTGTTATAGATATGTTTTAGGTCTGCATCCACACACTCACAAATCATATTCCATTTTAAAATGTGTATCTCCTAGTAAGTAACTGGGAAAGGGAAAGTGGCCTGATGGTAAAGCCTGTGCTTCATGTGCAGAATCCCCCAGGTTCAAGTGTAACATTTCTAGTTAAAAGGCTTAGATCAGTGATAGTGAACCTTTTTGAGCCCAAGTGCCCAAATTGCAACACAGAATCAACTTATTATTTTAAAGTGCCAATACTGCAATTAAAACCTGAATGCTGAGGTTTTAGTTTAGAAAAAACAACTACTCCTGCACTGCAAGGGTTAAATGCTTATTTTTGCCCCACTATGCACGGTATTAACAAATAAATGCTTACTGGTCCTCCAATCCCCCATTGGGCTAGACTGGTAATGGTCACCGTTGCACCCCTCCGCTGGATCACTGCACCAGCAGAGGGGAGTGCCGAAATCCGGGATCATAGGATGGGTAACTATTTCTCTATGGTGACTTACGGCTTGTGTGCCCACAGAGAGTGCTCTATGCGCCAGCTATGGCACGTGTGCCATAGATTCGCCATCACTGGCTTAGATAATATGTAATGGGAAGGATATTTCACTAGCTGAGCCTTTGGTAGTTCTCTGGAAATCTCTCCAAGTGAGGAAACCATCTGTACTGGTATAATGGAGCTATCAGTGTTCATAGGTTCATCAGTAACCATCAGCATGGGTGGTTACTTCTTGCAGAATCATTTTTTTCAGCTAGTATTCACAAATATAGTTTGGTGATACAGTTAAAGGCATTTGAAAAGGAGTTAGGTTTAAATAACTGCCTTAAACATTTGCCTCATAATAGACTCTTGGGGAGCAAAGAAATCCATTCTGGGCGTTCTTCATTTTCTTGTACAACAGATATCATATGTGTCCTACACTCTGTATTTTGTATCAAGAACATGCTCTAAATTTTGTTTTTCTCCCTTCTTTGTTAACAGTTTGATCGTGAGCACTTTAGTGAAATCTTTGTAGATTTAAAGTGGTTTGAAAGTAAAGTGGGTAATAAATATCTGAATGAAGCAGCTGGAATTGCAGCTGAGGAATCAAGAAAACAAAAGAAACATAAGGTAGGTGGTTGAGATTAAGTGTGTCATTCGTTGAATGGGTAAAGAATCATATGTTGCAGAAACATTTTAACATCCAAAGAGTAAAATCCTGTTCTGCAAATTACACCAGTATAAGGGTGATAATGTCACTGGTAGACTAGGTTTTTGATAATTAAAGGGTTTTTGCTTCCATCCCAGGGCTAGCATGGCCAACACACAATGCCACTGATAATATTCTAGCTGGACAAGCTGCAGGACAGAAGCAGGAACCCTTTAAAAAGCTAAAACTCTCCCTACAAGTGACTTGATTAGTTTTATGTAAGTTTCAAGGTTTGATATTTTGTATAAAAGGTGTGGACCATGGGTATCTCCTAGAGGAGATACGTCAGAGGAACTGGGTCTTAGAGGATGAGAAACATCCTTCAATAGTAATAGATGTTTCTAAGATTACCTTTTAACGTCAAAGATAGTTCATACACAGAACATTATAAACTCTTATCTTAACATCTTTGCGTCATGCACTTTAACAACACAATGCTATTTTACAGGGTTTTTTTTTTCTTAATCTCAAATTTAGATTTCAGTGGAATTTGCATTCACTTGAACATTTCACTATTTTAACTTGGCACTTTTATATTGTTGGTGCATTTATTTACATGTTATTGAAAAGTACAAATTATAATTTTAACAGGCTCAGGAAAATACAATATGCTTGGCTGCTTTAGAGAAAACTGGCAATGAAAATGTAGCAACTTCAAAAAGTGAGTCCAAAATTGCTATACCTGTTTTGTATGATATCTACAAAAGTCAGCAATTATTAGTGTATCTTCTTCTTTGAGTAAAAATATGTTGTATGTAAGTGTTTGTACAGTGTTAACTCTGGAACACAGCAAGACCTCAAAATGTTTTGTTTTTTATTTCAGCTCCATTAGAAAATGAACCAGAAGATGATGATTTGTTTGAGACAGAATTTAGACAATACAAAAGAACATACTATATGACAAAGATGGGTGTAGAAGTAGTTTCAGAGTAAGTTTTATGATCAAGATGTTTTCAATTTCCAGAAACAGATGAAATTTTTTGTTACAAAACAATTTACCAAAGTGCTTCAGTGTCTCTCTCTATAAGTGTAATAGTACTGTAGTGATTAGGGATGTGCCGTTCTCCAACTGCAACAATTCCACAGGCAGAATTCTAGTCCCATGTATACAAAACTTATATTTCACTCACCTGGATCAGTGCCAGTCTTAGAAACTGTATGGTTGTCTCACACCTACTTCTTCTTGTTTATCAGCTGAAAAAAGGAGCTGCTGTAGCACTTCCTCAGTTCTTCAAGAGATAGGAGAACCTATGTAACCTAAAAGGCATCAAGACTATAGCTTCCAAGTAGCACTGTGACAGCTTCCTGTTCTGTACATGAACAAGGACAGCAATGTAGCCTCAAAGAATAAGCTCCTAGTTCAGGTGAATGGAATGTTGGTATCTGTAGGTGTGGGTCTGTGAGCTGGAACTCCTGGAACTCTTAGAGGATTCTGGGACTTGGAGTACAAAAAAAAACCCAAATGGCACATCCTTTGCTGTCATATGTTTCTTAATGAATGTAAAGTCTTTTAATGTTTTCATATGCTTCACTGGGTTTTTGAGAATTCTGAAATGACTTGAGATATTAAAAAAGACATCATCCTCATTCATATGTACAAGTGAGAATACAGGAAAACATTATTTAACATAAGCATATTTTTGTTCTCTGTGTTTTAGTGACTTTCTGGCTGACCAGGCAAAATGTTATGTCCAAGCAATACAGTGGATATTGCACTACTACTATCATGGGGTTCAGTCCTGGAGCTGGTAAGAAGTCTGCAGATGAGACTCTAAATAATTTTAGAATTAAATATTTATTAAATGATACTTTTTGACATTACTTAACACATGCTGGGATGATGACCACTTAATTCTTTCCTGCCTGACTAAACCAATGGCCAGAATTCTGTTGGGAATATATACTGCCATAAGTGTAATTTCATAAATCACAGTGGTGAATGCCACTAATTAGTGAATTGCTGCTCACATTCCTGATTGCATGTCAGGTTGTCCAACTCTCATGCCACCAGGAATTCAAGAAGCAAGCCATTCATTGGCAGCAATTTACAACTGCAGTTTATGTGATTACTCTTATGCCACCATAAGATTCCAAACCATGTATTTCAGAATAAGTGTTTCATTTATTATTCCAGATTATCTCTGCCTTTAAATGGTTAGGATAAAAAAGTTTTTGATGTGTATGTCGTTTTTATGCATTTTTATATTTTGAAAAACAGAAGTAACATGTTTCCTCTCTGTAGGTACTACCCCTACCACTATGCACCTTACCTCTCAGATATTCGGAATATCAGTGAACTGAAGATTCATTTGGATTTAGGAAAACCCTTCATGCCATTTGAACAGCTTCTTGCAGTACTGCCAGCAGGTAGCAAGGATTTGCTTCCAAAGTGCTACCAGGTGTGATTTAATATTTTTAGAGGCTGTGTATATCACTTGTGCTATCTTATTTATTTTGTTGAAAGGGGTTCAACTTCTTCTATTATTTTTTTTTTTGGCTATGCATTAATATTCTTTGTACAGAGATTGTTCTAGTTCGGTATTCTTGGGAATAGTGACCTATTCCAGACTTTCCTGTGATATTTCTGTTCTATAAATATATTTTGCTTTACCATTTCAAACTTCTAAATAGTCATTTTCATACATTATTTTTAATGCAATCTGAATCATGCTGTCCTACTCTTTTTAGCATTTGATGACCAATGAAGATTCTCCCATTATTGAATACTATCCTACAGAATTTAAAACTGATCTAAATGGAAAGCAACAAGAATGGGAAGCTGTAGTGTTAATTCCATTCATTGATGAGGTAAGATCTTTGTGATTCTTTGATCTTCAGATACATTTTCATACAGGTAAACTGTTAGTACTAAAAATATTTCAGCATATGCATTATTATACCTTCTCAGATTTCAGCTCCTTGGAAAATGCTATTCTTCACTTGAAAGAGTTGGTGTTAAACTAGAGATTACATTACCTTAATGCGATGCATTAAAACATACCATCTTAAAACCTAACCATTTTGGAGGAATCATGCTCAGGATGGTTGTCCCACACAACCTGTCCCCCATGATAGAAACTTACCTTCCATAACTAATAACAGTTTCAGGTTACTGTAGTTGTTATTTGTACTATGAGTAGGAGAAAAAGTGGTGCATAAAAACCATTCCTGCTATCTTGATTTTGTTTGTGGAGATCGGGAATAGGTGCAATAACTGTTCTTTTAAATCCATGTGTTAGTTGCATACATGCAACAAACATCACATCTAATTTTGACCTTGCTCTAATAAGTTGTCAAAATTACCCTCTAACTTTTTTCCAATCCTTTTTATGCAATATCATTGAGATGTAGGTGAAGGGAAGATAAAACATTATGTATTTTTAAAAGTTTTATCTCCAGTAATACCAAGTTCATTATTTTATTTTTTCTTAGACCAAATGAATCATAGGAGTTTGTGTTCTCTTGAAAATTGTTCCCAAAGCAGCTCTATAGCTCCTGCTTGTTCTGTCTTCAAGACTGGCCCTGGAGATGAGCATGAGCCTAAAGTAGTCTATCCCATGCCTCCTATTCTTTCCCATAGACTTAAGGAAAAATGAATGATCAGTCCAAGAGATTAGACACTTAAGAATATTAATCTTCTTGGACAGGGAAAAATTCTTAATTGGAGGAACTACATAACCACTTTTTCAGAAAAATGTGGTGGTATAATATTCATTTGTTCTCTTCTGAGAAGAAAGAGTAGGGGTGGAAGATGCATGCATGACTGGGGCCAAATCTAAATCTCTTCCCAGGGCAATGTTGGGTAGAAATGGAATCAAATGTTCAAACCAGGCTACTGTAGCAATAATAGGTGCTCTGTCTATGCAACTTATCTGTTTTCATCACTGCTGCCAGTACTACTGCTAACCCATAGCATAGCTTGCTCTTTATCTGGTGAGCATTATGTTTATTCCTGCCTTACTGGAAATCAGCCCCGTTGAACTCAGTGCACCTTAAGTTTGAATAAAACAAGCTTATTTCATTCAAGAGCTAAAACTCTTTCCTTCTTTAAAAGAAAAGAAAAGACAGTGAGTTTGGTTTCAGATTAAGTTAGTTAAACTTCATCCTCACTGAAAGCAATGGGACAAGTTACTATGACAGAAAAGGTTGGTTCATAGACATGGTGCACATTAACGTTAAGTGGTAACATTGATTTCATCAGGTTTCTAAATGTTAGGATATTTGACGTGCAGTGAATATGCAAAATGCTATAATTTTTTTAGAAACAACTATTAGAAGCAATGGAACACTGCAACAAGTTATTGACAGTGGAAGAAAGACAAAGGAATAGACACAGTGAATGCTTAATGTATTTCTATGAGGAAGGTACAGAGTTCCAGTACCCATCACCATGGCCAGAGAAATTCCCTTCCATTGAAAGGTGCCATGCCAGGTAAGATAGAAGGAATTTTCTTCTAATGCAGAGGTTATATAAGCTATTGGAAGTTACTGCTATGCTGCCTTCTTTTAATTTTAATTGTGTGAGTTGATTTATTATGAGCCCTAAGAGATACAAAGAATACATTTGAAACAAATAAGATGAATTTTTTGCTTTAAGCTTAGTAATATGCTTTTCAGCTTCTGTTTAACTGTGAAAGTGTTTCAATATGTATCTGTTTAAGACTAATGTTTGCACTCAACATATATAGAGACAGTTTTTCAGAGTAGGTGTGTATTGGAGCTTTTATGAGCATGTAGTCTTGTTTTCTAGGCACAAAGCAATGTCTTTGGATGCTTGGCGTGTAGATATAGCCCATAACAAAATAACCACATTGGATTTGGAGAAGCTATATTTTCGTGGTTTTCCTACTCTGAAGCACATTAAACATAAGGTAAAGTTGAGTTTCTCTTTATGTAGTAAATATATACATTTATGTCTGCAGCTGACACATATACATATTGCTTTTGTTCTCCCATCCTAGTTCTATCTTAAAAAAAGTGGGGTACAAGTGTTTCAACAGAGCAGCCATGGAGAAAATATGCTGCTGGAAATTATGGTTGCAGATGATCCAGCCGAGCTGGTGAGTATCTGATGTTTTCAAGTTTTTGTGTGTGCCATTTTCTTACCATTGCAGTGTGCTGCACGCCCAATAATATCGATAATGGTAATTTGACAGTTTTGTATTTTGCATAGTAAAGTGTGACTAGTAGGTTGTTCTTAAGCAGCCATTTTGAAATGGTAGTAATGACACATAAAAGCTATATCCATCACTCCAGATAGTCTAAAAATGTCCTGACATCATTTAGCCGTATTTTCAGTATTAAGTAAATGATACTGTTACAGAACTAAATACTTAAATATTTGACATGGATTTGTTTTGATTGGTTAACAAATTGCTTTTCTTGTTTAGAGTGTAGAAAATGTAGCCAGTTTGGTGCTTGGGAAATCAGTATTTGTTAACTGGCCACACTTGGAGGAAGCCAGAGCCGTTGCTGTATCAGATGGTGAAACTAAGTAAGAGACTGCTATGCAAATTTAATGGTTTGCTTGCTTCTGCAGATATCCACCTTTGGAAAAAAACTTTACATGGCATGATTTTATTGTAGAGGCAACTTTAATAATTCTTTACATAGTCATATCTGTTTTAAAACTTTTCTGAAAATTCACACCATTTATTTTTAAGAGCAAAGAATTAATTACCTACTTTTCTTTCTGTTGACGAGAAAAATGCTAAATTTGCTATGGATGAGAAAAAATGATGTCTGGAGAAGTTTTCATAGAGTAATCAATACATGTAGCAGCATAACCTTTTTTAAAATTTTAATTTACTTTTGCCTTAAGGAAGGTGCATATGTCTCCAGTTTTACACACTAAGGACATTTGCAGATAACCTTGAAAATCAGAGCAATTTCTGAATTTTGAATTTCTGATTAAAATTCTCTTTTTTAATACACAAGAGAATTACAGGGACCCATAGAGAAGAATAGTTTCAAGTTCCCCCAATAATCCATCCCTTTAATTGGCACTTTGAGTTTCAATAACTCACTCTGAGACATTAGTAGTAGAAAGAATAAAATATTTATTTACTTACAGTTGTGACAAGCAAAACTAACAAACAGACCACATTGACTTCTAACAGACAATAGAGAGAGAAAGCAGACACTCAGCAGAGAGGCAAGGCTCTCTTTGAATTCTGAGGTGGGAGGGAATGATTGGTTAGTGCTGGATAAATTGTCGTCCCAGCCCAGAAAAGTCCCTCCCAGTCACTCAAGCCACAGGCAGCATGTGAGGTTGTAAAGCTCCAGAAGAATGTAGTCCCACATGAGTATATTTAAAATTAAAGTAGAAATTTAAAATATATTCATTTTTTATTTTGTATTAAACTTCATATATTTACGTTTAAGGTTTTCTTTAGAGGAACCTCCTGGAACACAAAAGCTCTACATGGGAAATGCTGTGCCACCAACTAAAGTAACCTTTGTTGGAGATAAAGAACAGAACATATGGATCAAGGAAATTCAGGGAATTTCAGAATAGTAAGACTCTGCTTATTTTTTATAGATGGAGAGTGTTTTTAAACTCACTGAGGTTTCTTTGTAAGGAGGGCACCTTTATGGGCGAATGCTTTAGAAATGTATTTTCTAAAGCATTTGCCCATGTGTCTAGATGGGTTGGGTATAAATTTAATAAATTAATAAATTAATAAATAATACTTTTGATGGCTAACATATTTTGCTGTGAATACAACCCCCAATGTATAAAATGACCCCCTAATTTAACGGGCAACTGTTCCTCCACCTCCTTCTCCTGCTGTCTCCACTGCCCGCCTGATTACCTCCTCCAGTGCGACTGCCGACTGCCGGGGCTCACCTCCAGCTCACGTCGCTGCCTTGTACCCTACCCTAAGGAGATTGTGGGAGGAGGTGTTTTGGCAACATAGGAAGAGGTGCCTGAGCGAGCCAGAGTGCTTGTTTCCCTCTGCCTCTGCCGCCTCCTGCCTCCACCACCGGAGGGGACAAGGCGGCGACGTGAGCTGAGCCTGTCAGTCCCAGTGGAGGTGGTGATTGGGCGGGCGGGGAAGGCAGTAGCAAGAGGTGCCCGAGCGCGTGTGAATGCTCCTTCACCTCCGCCTCCTGCTGCTGCTGCCTCGGTGCCACCAGAGGGGACAAGCTTTGAGCTCTGGAAGAGGCCAACTGCTTCCTTCCATATATAAAACGACACTCAGATTTTCCTCTAATTATTTTAAGAAAAAGTGTAGTTTTATACATGGAAAAATATGGAAGCCGCCTAGAGTGGTCTTATAGGCCAGATGGGCGGGGTATAAATCAAATAAATAAATAAATACAGTACATCTATTCTTCATCTTTTAGGTAACCTTTGTGACAGTTTGGGATTCCAAAGTAAATTCACTGGCTAGCAATTTTAACCTAGATTATTTCCTCTGTTAGCTTGTCCTCATATACATAGGCTCAGGAATGAATACTGTATATATATGCCACTTTTTGGTGGAAAGGAATACTTTATTTGGATTTCCTGTAGGGTCAAAAGAGGGTTAGAGAACAATGGACCCAAAGCAGCTCACAACATTAAAATTCACACAATTAAAAAACACAGTAAGTTAAATATTAAAAGATACAGTGGGGTCTTGACTTGAGAACTTAATACGTATTGGAAGGCAGTTCTCAAGTCAAAAAGTCTGTAAGTCAAGTCTCCATTGACCTACAGTGCATTGAAAACCGATTAATCCCGTAACAGGCCGTTTTTGTTCCATTTTGGTTTTTTTCTGGTCTGTAAGTCAAATCTCAGTCTGCAAGTCAAACCTAAATTTTGCAGCCAGAGAAGTCTGTAACTCAAAAAGTCTGTAAGTCAAGCCGTCTGTAAGTCAAGGGTCCACTGTAAATTAAACAATATATAATTTAAAATTAAAAGTTTAAAAATTAAAACATGGAAAGATTAAAATTATTTGCATTGAAATGGGGTTCACAGATTCATTTGTAAATGTTAGCCTGCCTGAAGAGATGGGTTATGAGTTTATATTAGTAGGTTATATTATCTGCAAGAAATAAGCTAGAAACACTTCATAATGGATGATTTGAAGACTGTGGTTTGCAGGCCCATAAAAGCCTCAGAGTTCATCTATTGTCTTGTGTTGTATGGTGATCACTGGATCTGGCTGACTGGAATAAATACTGCTAGTTTTCATAGTCCCCAGTTATACTTAAGCTTATGAGGTGGCTGTTTGTTTCTGATACATAAAGGAGTGGAGCATTTCTTTGGAAACTGTTGTTCCACCCAAAGGGTTGTGTAAAATAATATATATTATTTTATTTCAGATAATGTCAATTCTCAAAATAGTAATGAATTCTAACAAATTTGTTATTAGTTCTTATGTGCCATCAAGTTGAAACTGACTTATATTGACCCTGTTAGGGCTTTCAAAGTAAGTGAGAAGTTTAAGGAGTGGTTTTACCATTTCCACACTCAAAATGAGTTTGTATGGCTGAGTGGGAATTCAAACCCAGTCCTCGTGAATCCTAGTCTGTCACTTTGTTCAGTACACCGCACTGGGTATCTGAGAAATTTATCACTTTCTCTTTTAAAAAAATATGCACCTTTTCAGTTTGAGGATATTTCCCTTTCTTTCTCCCAGCTACCAGAGAAGAAAAGGAGTGATTATAAATGATACATCTGTAATTGTGTATGCTCAGTTACTAACTGGATGCCGATATCAGTTGAATCAAAGTGGTGAAGTGTACTTGGAGAAGCAATGGTCCAAGCAAGTTCTGCCTTTTGCCTACCAAACAGTTGTCAGGGTGAGCTCCTCAATGTCTCATGTTTCTATCAGTTTTCTGCCAGTATCAATTTATATAATAGACAGTAAAATTGAACTTAAAAATATGCAACTTCTAAGTTTAAGTGTTAAATGCTGTATAATGAAGTCTTAAAACCAGAGGGCTGTTGCCTCAGTTCTAGTTAGGAAGAGATGTGGCTACAGAGTTCTGTTCTGATAGTACATCACTCCATCATTGCCACCATCATCTTGCCAGCTCAGAAATGATTGACAATCCATCTACTATAAATAGGTAGAATAATCCTGGCCCATAAAAATTATTGGTTTGCAGCCTGCTTTGGAATTGGGATTGCAAAACAGACATACAGCCCAGGGACATCAGTTTACAAGACATATTTCAAAATATTTATGAGGGTCATATCTTTATTGAAAAGCAAGCAAATATCATAACAGGCCTTTTAGAGAAGATTTTTGTTTTGTATTGTCACATCAAAGTAATGTGTACATTTCTCTAATACCATAGATCTTTCTGCTTTTTCATGCAGGAGATAAAAACGTTTGATTCCCGCTTCTCCAAACTGAAAACTTTGGATGACCTATTCCCTCTTGGATGTACAGTCTTCATGCTGGGGACACCATACTATGGCTGCACAGGAGAAGTTAGTTTTAAATAATAAGTAGTTCTTAAAAATTTTTTCTCTTAAAATAATAATAATAGTGACTATGTGCTGTCAAGTCAATTCTGACTTTTGGCAACCTTTGCCGTGGTTTTCTAGGTAGAAAGTATTCAGGAGTGATTGGGCAATTCCCCTCATCTGGGGGCACTCTAGGACTTTGTAACTTGCTCAAGGCTACACAGGCAGGCTCTTCTCCTGGGAGGCACAATGGGGAAGTAAACTCTCATATTTGGGGTCTAGAGCCAGATGTCTAATTTACTGAACCATCCAGCTAGCTCTTTCTTCAAAAACTTTTCAAAAAATGAAGTTAAAGTTCTACAGGTATATGATTAAAAAATGATTGGGTTAGATTGGATTAATTTGGGTATTTAACAGCTTAAAGTCCTTCATGCCTTCACTTTACTAAGTCTTTCTTTTCATTTGTTTATAAAGAAATCTGTTTTTCCGCTCTTTGTTGTTACTTGAACATCATCTTGAACTTCTTGCTACTTTGATTTAAAGTAGACACAACTTCAGTTAGGTGAAAACAATATCAAGTTTTTACTGGTTGCTTTATGTAAAATGGACTTATATCTGACATTTGAATGATTTATAAATATTTATTTTAAGGTTCAGGACTCATCTGATGTTATATTAGAGGGTAGAATCCGAGTTGTTTTCAGCATTCCATGTGAACCTCAACTAGATATCTTAATACAGAATCAGCATGTAAGTGACCTTTGCTTATTTCATCTTACACCTATAATAATATTTGAAAACTGCATTTATGTAGGATTTTAGAAAATTAGTGGGCAGAATCTTGTTAACCACCATAACTCTAGTGGTGTAAACTTCAGTGTTGAATTGCAACCAATTACTGTAAGTAGTTGGGCACATAATAGCCACGTGACTTGGCAAAAAAGGATACATCAATTTTTTGTTGTTATGTGCTAGTAAGTCACCAATTTTTTTCCTGTCACCTTTCTTCTCTACTGTTCACCTTTCACACTCATAAATAGTGACTGAAAATACAAGAGTGTGGATGGTCTCAGTCTCCAGACTAATTCATTACTGTACTTAGTGGCAATTTGCTGCTGGCGTTATAGCAGCATAGGTGTGTAAAAGGCTATTAATTATTAAATCGTTTTTTTCTTACTGGATTTGTTCATATTGATATCTCTTTGTGCACATAGTGGCTAGAATCCAGTTAATTTCTGAAGCTTATGTGAGGGACTTTGGTTGTATTGGTCCACTTAAGATTTGGTTTGGTTTGGTTTTGGGGTTTTGGGTAAAGTAATTTTGAAATTCCGCTTTACAAAATGCAAGAAGGAAAATGCCTAGCCTGTAGGTTTATAATAGTTTCATAGTTATTTCTGCCTTGTTTTCTACTCAGGTTGTACAGTGGTTCAACAAAATATGCATCATTCAGGAGTTACATTACAAAGCTTGGTTCAGACCAAGAATTTTAAATATTGTAAATGTAACAGTGTGAACTGGCTTTTCAATAATGTATGAATAGCTTAGCAGTAGTTTAAAAATCCCAAGCTTTGTGGATGGTGTTTTTCTAAAAAAACTTTTACTATTGCTTTACTTGGCAGCTTTACTTTTTACATTAGCAGTAACAGTAGGTAATTCAAAAGTACATACAAATCCATAATGTTCAGAGATGTCTCCAAAACAAAATGAATTCTGATAACCTCTGCCCCAAAGCAAACCACTTTTGCATATAACCAAATCATTTATTTAAGAAGTGCTTGGGAGAAACAAGGGAAAAACTGGCAATTTTTCATTTGCATTTTTGTCACTAGAACAGGAAAGAAATATTCTGATTCCAAACCAAAAACAGACAGATAGAATCAGTAGTCACATAACACTATCTCCTATACTTCTGGCAAATCTACATCAAAATTATTGGCAAATCCAAATGAATTGTCCCTTCCTTTGCCACAGAATGACCTTATAAACTGGATGAGCATGTGTTTGTGTGCAAACACAGGAGCATGATAAAACATATCCTGATTTTGTGAGGATGTACACTAATAAAATCCTGTGTATTTTTCTCCTTGTCTGTTGGGAAAGAACACTAAGTATCTTTAACTGCAACCAGTTGTGAACACCTTCTGCCTAGCTGCTAAGAGTGGTCGAAATGACTAGATAGGCGGGGTATAAATGCAATAAATAAATAAATAAACAAACAAGATTACTAATATATATATTCTAGACATTAATTATTCATTTCTATGCCTTTCCATTGGACTATTTCAGTGCCGTGGAGAGGGGGGATTTGCTGCTTGAGTAACAGCCTATCCTCCATATTATTTTACCTAGGTTTCGTGCCCTGGAGAGGACACTCCAGTTTCATGTACAGCGTCAAAACACTAGACGCTATTCCAAGTCCTCCATTCAGAGCATGTTACCATAGTCTCTTGAGACTGAAGGATATCTATGATGAATATTTAACACGGCCAAACAGCTCAAAAAACCTACAACAACCATCGGATCCCAGACGTGAAAGCCTTTGAGAATACAGTAGATAGATAGATAGAGAAAGATTGATTACCAAAGAATCTAAAGAGAAATTCCTAATTTGTCTACTATACAACATCTGTTCATACAGAAATATTCTGTGAAGTACAATCCTGGATATGTGTTGGCCAGTCGTCTTGGAATTAGTGGCTATCTTGTATCAAGATTTACAGGAAGCATTTTTATTGGAAGAGGATCCAGGAGAAAGTAAGTTCTGAAATGTGAGATATCTATTTGCATTTGTGAATTCAAGTCAACGTTGTGACAATGTTGGTTAATACTGAATATTTGGCTACTCAGTCTTAGTAAGAGAGAAGTAAATGGAAGAGATTCTGCACATATGGATTTGTGCCTTCATATGTGCCTCTGGTGCCTCGCAAGACAAATGCCTTGTGCAATGAAAAACTCGCAAAACGAAAGCGTCTTGTGAGTTTTTTGGTGACTCGCAAGAGGAAAAAAAATTCATCTTGCGAAGCGCGGTTTCCCATAGGAATGCATTGAAATTTAATTAATGTGTGTGAATCTGTCCTTCCACTGAGCACTCAGGGTGAAGCCTCAGCTTCAGAATCTGTCCTTCCACTGAGCACTCAGGGTTCATTTCCTTCAGAATGGATAGGTTTGATCTCCTTGCCAGTCCAGGGGACTCTCAAGAGTTTCCTCCAGCACCACAATTCGAAAGCATCAATTCTTTGGCAATCAGCCTTTTTTATGGTCCAGATCTCACTTCCATACATCACTGCTGGTAAAACCATAGCTTTGACTATGTGGACTTTGTCGGCAAGGTGATGTCTCTGCTTTTTAAGATGCTGTTGAGGTTTGTCATTGCTTTCCTCCCAAGAAGAAGGCGTCTTTTAATTTCGTGGCTGCTGTCACCATCTGCAGTGATCATGGAGCCCAAGAAAGTAAAATCTATCACTACCTCCATATCTTCCGCTTCTATTTGCCAGGAGGTGATGAGACCAGTGACCATGATCTCAGTTTTTTTATATTGAGCTTCAGACCATTTTTGGCGCTCTCCCCTTTCACCTTCATTAAGAGATTCTTTAATTCCTCCTCACTTTCTGCGATCAGAGTGGTATCAGCTGCATATCTGAGATTGTTGATATTTCTTCGGGCAATATTAATTCCGGCTTGGGATTCATCCAGTTCAGCTATGTATAACATTCACTATTATAATAGTGTTTGCTATAATCCATATTTTTCAGCGTTTGTGTTTGGAACTGATCACCGATGGATACGTGAGTCTGACTGTATTTCTTCACAAAACAGAGTTAGCATTTTTTAAAACATTCTAATTTATTTTGCAGTCCCCATGGAGATCACAAAGCAAATGTGGGACTGAACCTAAAATTCAATAAAAAGAATGAAGAAGTCCCTGGTTATACTAAGAAAGTTGGAAATGAGTGGTTGTATTCTTCTGCAGTAGAACAACTCCTTGCTGAATATTTAGAAAGGTAGGCATTAAAACAGACAATGCTGTGTATTTACCTTGCATTATAACAATTCAAATAAACCTAAAGTGCACAGCAATAATATACGGAGTAGTAAGTATTTCCTGCATGGTAATAATATTCATTAAAGAGGTATGTGTCATGTTTTGCTGCTAATAAATATACTGGGTAGTTTTGTGAGATCTATACAGAGAGTCATGGATAATCTACTTACATTATTTATGTATTTATTAGGGTACCAGAACTATTCAGTTATCTAGCCAAAAACAGTCAAGAAGATATATTCTATGAAGATGACATTTGGCCTGGAGAAGAGGAGAATGGGTAAGTCCATAATCTTTAAAATAATTTTAGATAAATCCTCTAATCAAACAAAGGCAGTCTACAAGAATTTTGGCATTTTGGACCATGTATAGAAAAGTCCCCTGTTCAGGGAGGAAAGCCTGAATGCATGAGCCCTCGTATTTTTGACATCAAGTGGCCAGAAGTACAAGAACTATTAATTGCCCTTTTTAGGGAATTGGTGAGCTCCAGTTCTAAAGGATTTTTCATATCCGGTTTAACAGAATGTGTATTAAAGACTGCTGTACATGTTTTAACAAAACTTCTAAGAAACATTAAGTCAAATATGAAAAAATGTTACATCTGAATTTGATTTTAGTCATTGTAATCAGTGTATTCGCGAAGGCATTCACGGCCGGGATCTAATGGTTGCTGTGGGTTTTTTGGGCTCTTTGGCCATGTTCTGAAGGTTGTTCTTCCTGACGTTTCGCCAGTCTCTGTGGCCGACATCTTCAGAGGACAGCACGTTAGGAAGAACAACCTTCAGAACACGGCCAAAAAGCTTGAAAAACCCACAACAACCATTGTAGTCAGTGCTTGGTGGTAAGGGACTTATGTAGAACTGTTGTAATGTTCAAAAATCCCTTGTGGTATTCAAATGCAGCAGTCTCCTTGCGTGTTTAAAGAAAGCCTGGCAAGAATGGATTTGATTGATAATAACTGAAGATTTCTGGACAATATTTGGCAACATGTTTTATGCTACTGAATTTATCAGGTGGAATTTCATTTTCCTTTTATTTGTTATTTGTAGAAGTGTAGGAATACAGTGTAACAAGACATTTGTGTATTCAGTATTATGCTTAGGTTAACTACAAAGGTTGTAATTGGATCTCCAGTACAACAGAGTGATATTCCTACAGTTCTTTTATCACTTAACTTGAATAATTTGGACAGTCTCTTCTTCCAGGATTGCATCTAACCAGATCTCTGTAGTAAAACAAAGTGGTCTCATCCTGAAATAAACATGTTTCCTGATACAGTGGTGCCTCGCTTAACGAGCGCCTCGGTTAACGACGAATCCTCATAGCAATGTGTTTTAAGCGATCGCAAAAGCGATCGCATTGCGATGTTTCTAATGGCAAAAAATCGCTTTGTGATGATTGGTAAGCATTTCGCTTATCGATTTTCGCATAGCGATGGCCTTTTTAACAGCTGATCGGCGGTTCCAAAATGACCGCCGGGTAAAGGAAATGGCCGCCCGCTGTGTTTTCGCGCCCTTTCCTCGCTTACCGGGCAGCAAAAATGGCAGCCACGTGGAGGATCTTCGCATTAAGGTGAGTTTTTTGCCGATAGGAACGCATTAAACATGTTTTAATGCGCTCCTATCGGCTTTTTTGCCCCGCATAGCGACAAATCCATATAACGATGATTTTTTCGGAACGGATTATCGTCGCCATGCGGGGCACCACTGTATTTTATTTACTCAAATGCCATATATCTTGCAACTTGATAAATTTTGTAAATGACTTATACAAGGATCTTGCTGCTGTTTACTGATATGGAGTAATTTTTAATGTAGTGCTGAGAAGGTTCAAGAAATTCTTGCATGGCTAAAGGCTCATCCTGTCAGTATGCTCTCACGTTCTTCTTGTGATCTACAAATTCTGGATGCAGCTATTGTTGAAAAGATTGAAGAGGAAGTAGAAAAATGCAAGGTACTTAAAAATGTAAATAGAATTACAAATGTATATTTTAACTACAGTATACAAGAATAAAAATCTAAATTAAGTCCTTATTATTGGTACAGTGGTGCCTCACATAATGGGCGGCCCATTTAACGACGAATCCGCATAACGACGATGTTTTTGCGATCGCTTTTGTGATCGTATAACAATGTTTTCTGTGGGGGGAAATCGCTTTGCGATGATCGGTAAGTTGTTTCGCTTACCAATTTTCGCATAACGATGTTTTTCCCCAGCTGATCGGCGGTTCCAAAATGGCCACCGGGTAAAACGGACGGATTCCTTGCTTACCGGGCGCCCAAAATGACCGCCGTATGGAGGATTTTCGCTTAAAAGGTAAGTTTTAAGCCCATAGGAACGCATTGAAGGGGTTTCAATGCATTTCTATGGGCTTTTTAAATCCGTATAGCAACAAATCAGTATAGCGACGATTTTTGCTGTATGGATTATCGTCGCTATGCGGGGCACCACTGTATTTAAAAGTTACTAAGTGAACTATCACAATATTTTGAGCTTAACTTTAGATTGCAACCTGTTTTGTAATATATGGTAATATGTCACTGTTCGTCCTACAGTTTGCCATTTCAGTGTAAACTATTGCATGCCAGACAAATCTCTAGTGAAATTTTGCATGGTGTATCCAGTCTAGAAAACCATACATATCCTTTGTTCTCAAATAGCAGCTCTACCTTTCCTCCAGTATGTGATGTTACATTAGAGTCACCAAATGTACAGTTACCTTTAATTAGTTTTGTGATATTTTGCTTTCTAAAGTTGAATGTCCACCAGACTTCTGACATTATGTAACTACTTTCCTGCATAATAGATTCTTTTAGGCATTGATGGAAAAGTTTAAACAGAGAGGATTTTTTTCACTAGTTGACTATGAAGTTGTTGATGATTAGGAATATACTTAGTATTAGTAAAGGTTCCCCTTGACATTTAGTCCAGTCATGTCTAACTCAAGGGGGCAGTGCTCATCCCCATTTCCAAGCCATAGAACCAGCGTTCGTCCGTAGACAATTTCCGTGGTCACGTGGCCTGCACGACTAGACATAGAACTCTGTTACCTTCCCACCATGGTGGTACCTATTTATCTACTCCCATTTGCATGCTATCAAACTGTTAGGTTGGCAGGAGCTGGGACAAGCGACAGGAGCTCACTCCGTCACATGGATTTGATCTTATGACTGCTTGTCTTCTGACCTTGCAGCCCAGAGGCTTCTGCAGTTTAACCCACAGCGCCACCACATCCCCACATACTTAGTATTAGACGGAAGGAAAGGATGGTGCATGAACTTAGGTCTGAGATATGACTTGCTTCTTGATTTTAAAAGACCATGATAAATTGTTGAATGGTTTCATCTAATCATTTTTGTTTCTCTGTAGCAAAGAAAAAGTAATAAGAAAGTGCGTGTGACAGTGAAACCCCACTTGCTATACAGAGTAAGTTTGTAATGTGTTTTAAAAATGCTGAGTGTAGTTCTCATATGAGACAATCTAAATAGAACTTTTTATCATTGGTAAGGAACATATTGCTGTTCCTTTGAAAGAATAATTCATTCATAATATTTAATAATAAATTAATCCTGAACAGTCAGATGTTCTTACTTTATCTATAACTGTGAGCTTAATTGAGTCTAACAAGTGCTTCAGATCACTTTGTGTTGTTCTGAGATAGCCGTTTTCTTTGTATAATTTCTGGAGTTGTGTGAGGAATTTTAGAAATGCTGCTGCCAATTTGCTGTACATAGAGTAAGTTGCCATCATCATAGGCATTCTTCAGTCTCGAGAGACTATGGTGACATGCTCTGAATTGAGGAGTGTCCTCTCCAGAGCATGAAGCCTGGGTAAGGTAATATGGAGGATAGGCTGTTACCCAAGCAGCAGATCCCCCCTCTCCACATTGCTGAAATGGTCCAATGGAAAGGCAAGAGCCAATACAACTGGTTCCAGCAATGTTGCAGGAGTTGGCAGAATGCTGCCTTCGGGACTCTAGCTCCGGATTTTGCCTCTAGGTTAACTCCTGAAGCCTTTTCCATGAGTGGATATAGCCACAAGGCAGTGGAGGTTTGAAATCAGAGTTTTCCTTCTCCTAGATGGGCTGCCTTCCATGGCTGACGAGCCCCACCTACCTGGCCTGCTCTTTAATAGTGTGGAAGTATGATCTGAGACTTAAAACTTTCCTGCCTCCCAGGCTTATGCAAATATAATTGTATTTCCTATTTACCATATTAAGGCCAGAGATAGAATTTGGGACACGCTCTTTAAAAGCAGAAAGTCCCACCCCCTAGGCCCCACCCCCAGGCCATGTGGTGAGGAGACAAAAAGAAACCCCAGAAAAAAAACCTCAGCAAAACATCCATTCAAACATACCTGGCCTTCACCCTCAGCCCAGTTTCCTAGGGGAAAGGGTCCAGGGTCCTGGGACATGCTCTTTTAAAGCAGAAAGTCCCACCCCCTAGGCCCCACACCCAGGCCATATGCTGAGGAAACAAAAAGAAACCCCAGAAAAAAACTCAGCAAAACATCCATGCAAACATACGTTGGCATGTGCTCCAAAAATCAAATTTAGCTTTTATAGTGTGCTGTCTTTACTGGACAGTCTTTACCTAGTAGTTTTATAATTATTTTAGCTTTATCTTACTGTGCATGGGTCATTTTGGTTAATAGGATATGTTACACAGTTCTTTAATTTTGCCTCCATCTTAATCAGTTGTATAGAATTAATTGTACTAGAGACTTGTTGGTTTTGTTATATGTTGCTATGCTTATCTGGATATTTCTGCTGCTATTTATGTCTTTGATTTTTTTTCCCAGCCTTTAGAACAACAACATGGAATTATACCAGACCGTGATGCAGAATATCGACTGTTTGATCGTGTTGTGAATGTGAGAGAGAGCTTTTCAGTTCCCCTTGGCCTTCGAGGAACCATAATAGGAATTAAAGGAGGTTAGTATGATTTTCATTGTGGATGACCTCTCTGATTTCAAAATGTGAAGACTTTTTATTTAAAATACTGGAATTAGAAAATGCATTGTTTTGAGGACATCAAGGCATCAGATTATTCAATCTGAAGTTGAATAATCTGAAAATCACTCATGGAGTGGGCCTTTCCTGCCCCTTCTCACTACATTTCCTAAAAATGTCTCTGGACCATCCTGAACAACATGAGATGTGGTGCCTGATGCTGAAGGGGGGCAAGAGAATTACCCACAATCAAGTATGAGTGGAGCTATCCACACAAATTGCTTCTGCTCAATTTGGGGCAATTTTTCTGACTCATTGTAGCATCCTTAAGCTTAGCCAGTCCTGTTTAGAGAAGACACAGGGTTTTCAGAATGCTCTATGAAATTAATGGGGGAATCCTGTCCGATGGTATTACTGTCTGGGATTCTTTTCCAGAAACACAAGATTTATTTTTCCGTCTCACTCTCGGCTTTGAAACTAGCCTGCTACTGTAGTTAGTTTCGCTTTTGAGGCAGACTGATAAGATAGGCTCGCTGCTGCTTTTCTTCTTTCAGCCAAATATTTTCATTCTTATTTGCAGCTTAATGGGGCTGTTTCATAAATCAAAGGCTTCAGCTTACTTAGTTGTTATATATTTTAAGCTTATACTGTATTGGTTGTTCTCTTCTCCCCCGGTAAAGGGTTACTCACGGCTCAGTGCCAAATATGGTTCCCCGCCTCCGATTCGTGCTGGGTGATTTCTTCAGAGGGAAGAAATATGGGTTTGCCTCCCATTCTTCTCCTTCTGCTGCTCACCATCTGCTTCAGAGAGAATTTTCCTAGACTCTCCTTCGATCCCCATTTCAAAAAAGGGGATCCCGGACCGGACGGGTTCCAGTTTTTCCAGAGAGCTGTTCTCTGGAGCTACTGGCAGCACCGCAAGCATGAGATTTCTGATATTTGCTATTTATATAGTGCCATTAGCTGGCTGGATAGCTCAGTGGGTTAGGTATCTGGTTGGGGAGGCAGAGGTTGAGAGTTCTGTTCCCAAATATGCATCTCAGAGGAGCCAGCCAGTGTGGCCTTGAGCAGACTGCACAGTCTCAGGATGCCCCCAGAAGAAGGGAATGGTAAACCACTTCTGAGTGCTGTCTACCTGGAAAACCCTGAAAAATATATTGCCATAAGTCAGAATTGACTTGTTGGCATACAATTATTATTGATATTTATAGTGCCATTAGTATACACAAAGCTTAGTCACGGGGAAACCAAACAGAAAACAGTTAGTTGTAGGTTTTTCGGGCTGTTTGGCCATGTTCTGGAGGTTTTTCTTCCTAAATTTTTGCCAGTCTCTATGGCCAGCATCTTCAGAGAACAGGAGTTAGAACTCTGTGTTCAATAGTAGTTACATTTCTCTAATTGAAGGCAGGGGCAGTCCAGAAAATAAAATAAAATGTCCTCATAAAGAAATAGCCTTCTATCCAGAACTCTGCTTTTATAGAAAAGAAGGGTTGATCACTTGTACCTCTAATTTCATCAGGAATAGAGTTTTATCACCTTTTCCCTTCCCCTTTTGATTGGTTATCCACATACATAGAAAATATATGTGGATAACCAATCACCTCTGACTTCTTTAAAAGATTTATCAGGAAAGTGGTGAGGAGATCACTCCAGGCACTGTGCTCTCCAGTATTTTTTAAAATTACTATTAGAAAAGAGATATTGAAAATCCACAAGTACTCCTGACAAATCGGGTTGTTACCCATTCTCAGTTACTGGGGTGCTGTGTTCTTGACTAGTTGCCAGTTTAGCTAACCCAGAAGCAGTCCAACTGTTTCCGCCTTCATCTTGCTGCCAGTTCCCTAGGTCTGTTCCAGACATCACTGTGCCTCTCAGTGATTATGACATGGTAAACTGGCAGATGGCAAAAGAGTCTGCTCCACCAAGCAGCACTGCAATACTGGTGGCAGCAGACCAGAATGAAGTTAATTCTGCCATGGCTGAAAAACAGGACAGTTTTTTTTAATTTTACAAGCCAGCCTTGACTGATAGACTAGCACCCAGTAATTCTGCACTCAGAAGACAAGCAGCTGATCTAGGGAGTGTACTTAGGAGAACAGGGAGTACTATCTGTACAGAAGAACATCTGCATTTTCTGTGCAGACCGAGTAGTTATTTTTTTAGAACAAATTGTGTTGCCCATTGTCTCTCCTAATCCTTCTAATTGATTGATTTATTTCATGTCAAGGTTGATTTCCAAAGAGGCAGCCATGGTGATCCATTTCAGCATTATAATAAGAACAAAACCACTTGTGGCGCCTTTCAGATTCAGAAATTTCTTTCACTGTGAGGTGTTGTGAATGACAACCAACTTCTTCTGACACATGAAGTGTAACATTGCAGTCCATATGTCTGAAGAAGTAGATTGTAATCTACAAAATCTCACACTGAAATAGATCTGTTACCCATAAAGGTGCCATGAGCCTGTTTTGAATTTTGTTAAACAAGGTTAATGGGCAACAGACCCTAGAATCTTTTTTTGGCTTATTTTTTATGTAATGAGTTACATAAGGAAGGGGATACATAGATAAATTAAATTGTCTTTTTGTCCATCATTCGCTTTTGTGTGGGCAAGGAGGACTGGTATCTGAAGAAGGTTAGAAGTACAGGGTTTAAAAGGCCTGAAATGGAACTTTCAATGTCCTTTCAATGTCCTGTGTATAGCTGTGACCAAAAGAGTTATAAGGGTTAATATAACAGAGTTAGAAGACAGGAATATTTGTTTCAATAATATCTTCACATTTGATGAATAGTGATTGCTTATAGTGCATATTTTCTTCAGCCAGCAGAGAATCTGAAGTTCTGTATGAAGTACTGTTTGATGAAGAATTTCATGGTGGCTTAACAATAAGGTCTGTTTAAAAGAGCTACGTTTATTTGCATCTTTTTCTTACATTTCTGTAGGTGTTAGGAAACTATTTGCACAAAAAAGTACCGTATTTTTCGCTCCGTAAGACGCACCTTTCCATAAGATGCACCAATTTTTTAGGAGAAGAAAACAGGAAAATATAATCTGTTTTCTTCGCTCCATAAGACGCACAGACTTTCCACCCTCCCTGTTTTGTGGGAGGAAAAGTGTGTCTTATGGTGCAAAAAATGCGGTAATACTGAAAAATTGAATATATTTATTTAGATTCTTTATGATCCAAATTTCATTCATTCTAGCAACCTAACTTTAAAAAAATATAATTTCTCATTTTATTAACAGGAAATAGACATCAAAAAGCTCTACATCATAAGATTGCCCACTGGTTCTCATAAAGATGATATCTGAATGTAGGATTCCAGGCTAGTTCTGCGTATTGTTATGAGGTTCAGTTTATTCTCCATTTGAAGAATTGTTAGGGGTTGTTAAGTTTTGGCATTCTGTCCTAAAAGTCTTACCCATAAATTTTGGGATTATAAATACACATTACATTAGTGCAGGGATCAGGGGTGTTTTATCACCCCAAACCTCTCCATTATATACTCTAGGCCTACCACCAACAGTGCTCCCAGATCTCCCAAAGCTTTCTAAAAACTGTTTTTAAACATTTTGCCACTAGAAGACTTGATGGGTTTTTTTCAGTTAAAAACACAGTATTTAGTTAAACTGTTTTTTCAGTTAACAAAATACACATTTTAGTGACCTTTCTTGCACATAAATGCATATATATGCAAATGAGGCCATACTCTTCCTCTTAACTCCTCTCCTTGGGAATGTGACCCATGGGGTTCTGGCAGATCTGGAAAAAAGCTCTTGATCCCACTGAGACCTCCACACCTTCAGTTGTGGCATTTTAATTACTTTTCCTCTCTTCCTTTAGGAGTTCACCTGCTAGAGGGTACCGCATACCAGCTAGTGCCTTAATTAACCTATCCTATGGTAATCGGTCCGAAATGGGAAATCAGAAGCTAACAGCCATAGTCAAACCCCAGCCAGCTGTGAGTTCCTACAACTCATATTCACCTGAATCTGTTTCTGTATCTTCACAAAAAGCACATCTAGGAGGTCTCAACCATTCCCCTCGTTCCCTCTTTGTTCCTACTCAAGTAAGTCTATATTTAATTATTCTTCAAAGTGTGTAACAAAAATGAAGATACTGCTAGATATCCTTGGATTCTAACTCTTTTCCATGGTAATGTTTAGACAAGCAAAATCAGGATTGTTTAAGTCAGTGGTTCTTAACCTGGGTGATATCTCCCCCAGGGGGCGATTTCGTTTTTCAGGGGTAGTAGAACGAAAAGGGGCAATGTGGGGGCAAAGGAATAGAAGGGGGGTGATGGAGCCACCACGCCGCCGCCATTGAGGAAGTTATCATCACCCCCCTCCCCGCACTGCCGAATCCAGAGCAGCTGGTACTGGCAGTGGATGTGGTGTCATCACGCTGCCATTGAGGAAGTTATCATCACCCCCTCCCCACAGCAGCCGCAGGGAGGGGGACTGATGATAACTTCTCAGTGGCTCAAGGGGGCGTTTCTTTCAAACAGGTTAAGAACCACTGGTTTAAGTCACATAACAAATGTTATAAGGTGATATGTGAAGAACTTTTTCCAGTCTGTGGCCCCCTTCAAATTTGCCAAGGTTGCCCAGGGAGGCATACGGCCTCATTGAGAATGGCTGGACTAAATAATAGGAATGAACTAGATCAGACTTATGCAAATGTTGGAGAATTCTAGTAACTAGAATTTTCAATAACTTTTAAGATGTGCTTTGACAGTAAAGGATTGGTTGTTTGTGGCAGTATGTATGTGTTTTTTTAAATGTGTGTTTACAATAGATTGCATTCTATACAGCATTATAAAAGGCAAAGCAATAAGAATTGTCCCATACTGGTTACTGTTAGCGACAAGAGAGCAAGTTTTACAACTGTACACACATAAATACTGTATGTATATTACGTCATAAGTAGCACATGTTCTTCTCATGAATTTAATTGGCTCCAACGTAGATGATAGCCATATTTACCTGTAATACCATTTAGTTAGCTCCACACAACTCAATCCCATAGATATGTAAGGCATACTTTTAAAGAGGAGGAAACATTTTGAAAGCTACTCAAATTTTTTTTAATTATTCATGATCTAGCAGCTGAATGGAAAGCAATATAACAGTATCAAGGCTGAAAACCAGGGTAATTCTGGTTCCCTCCAGAAAGGATCATATTTAAGTGGCAAGCAAAAATACAAAGTAAGTGCTATATATTGGTTTTCTCAATACATGCTAGTGGATCTATATTGCATTTGGGAGATGGGCTTGAGCATTTTCTAGAAGCAGAAATTAATAATACAGAAAAGAAATCAAGGTTAGTACATTATATTTTATCTGTTCTTCAGTATATTTTACTTGACTACTCAATGACTTTGACAGATTTTTAAAACAATTTTAAAAAGGAGAAAATGCAACATGTAAACAAAACATCCATAATTAGAACAAGCAGAAAATAATCCTACAAATGGGGCAGTAAATGACAGCAGACAAAAGCAATATTAGAGTAAAATCCAGTATTCTGGAGGGGGGTGTCAGTTTGTGCAATATGAATTTCTTTCTGCAGCCTTCACTACACACTTAACCTACTCCAGAGGGTCCCCAGTCTTCCAGAGTAGATTCTGAGAGCAGTATGGGGCTGCACTATAGAGGGAAACTGATCCTTTCTTGTTCCAATGACAGAATCTGACTTGTTGGGAAAAGTTAACATGATCCAATTCATATTAAATATTTCCAAAAGTTGTGGTAGTCCAAAGAAACATGAAAATAAAAAATAATTTGGAGAGATTTAACTATTTGTCAGTGGTATTGACTGCTGAGTATCAATTTTGTGATGAGCTTCAGTTGTCTATTTAATAATCAGGATGATGTAACAGTAGAAAAGTGATAGATTTTCCTACCTTGCAATTCATATCTAACACACTAAATCAGCATATTCATCCTTAAAATGAGTTAACTTTTCACAGGATGGCTACAAAAGTAGTTTTCTTAGTTGTGTTTATTAATTAAACTGTAAATATGTATCCTATTTTGTGCTTTGTATATCCACAGGATGACGTAATTCCTATTGAGTCTTGAAATGTATAGGGCACAAAGGGTGATGGGAATGGAGTGCACACACTCACCCCCATGTCCTCCCTATCCTAGAAGTCCTGTAGTTCCTCGTATGTTAAGGAAAAAGACCTGCATAAGTGGTTTAAACTTTTTATTGAGACTGAGATCTGGGAAATGCTGTAACCATGTTAAGCTGATTGCATTTACAGGATCTATGCAGATTTTTGTCCCAAACAAGCAAAAACATAAGGACTTTTTAATGAGATGGGGATGTGCGGACTGAGGTGTACCTTCATCTCGATGCTATTGCAACTTTTTAAGTCCTACATACTTTCAGGCTAAAGAGCTGAATAGTACTTTAGAAAAATCAGTCCGAAACAATACAGTGTACTGCTTGTCAGTTATGTGGGAACTATTATAGTATTAGCTGATATTTTAGAGACAGTGTGGTTTATATATGGACTTGATGTTTAGCAACAGCCCTTTAAAATGAATGGTTTTAAGCTGGTCATTAAAAAGTTGCATCTTCTCTAAGCATCACCAACTCTGAATCCAACCAAATAATTTTATGACCTTAACAATGTAAAGTCCTGTAATAGAGGGGTGGCAGAATTGGAGAATGCACCACTTCATTCCCTAAAGAGTCGGTAAAAAGGTAATGGCTACTTAAAACTTAAAAGTAGAAATCAAATGTCTTTAAAACAATACAGCCTTTCCCAGTCCCAGGAGTGAGCTTGGGCTAGAACAGAAACTGCAACAGTAGTAGCTGTCTCTAAACCATCCTGACTTCAAGGAGGATGTCTGTATAGGCAGTGAGTGAACAATATGGGAGCTTTCATTTAACAAATGAAAGGGGAGGATGGGGGTGTTGTGGAGTTGGAATTTAGGGGAAGATTTTCCTGAAAAGGAGAGAAAGAATTTAGGTGAGGTCCTGTAGAGCAGGACTTATGTATTTTATGGGAGAGGATGTAGCTATATGTTCTTATGCCGTAAAATTTCATGAAAAAAATGAAGGCCCATCCATACCAGAAATAATTTTAAAAGTGGCAGAATGAAACTGTGGGTGATTACTCCTTTTGTTTATTAGGGATTAAGCTGTTGTGGTTAGGTTGCAGCTAGTTTGGTATTGAGATTCTAAAAACAGTTCCTTTGATTTCAGAAATCTAGTCACTTTTAATCTCTGAGTTATCATAATTAATACATTTTATCATAATAAATCTAGGCTTAAATGTGTTCGGGGTTTCTTCCTTCCTATCAGGCCCAGAACAAACAAGATGATGAATTCTGCAGCATTTGGCAGTCTTTGCAGAGCTCAGGAAAGTCTCAGCCGGCCCAACAAAATAGGCATGAAAAGGTAAATTTCTGTTTTGGAAATGACTATGATGTGGGAGAAACATCCTGTGAAGCCTGAATACTAAAAATTCTCATTTTCTAGGGTGGAATTTTACCTCAATACATAAAGTTAAATGCTGGAGGCCAGTTTTGCAAACCAGGCTTTAATGAGAGTAGCTTTAAAGGCCAACAAAGAAAACAGGAATCATTCAGGAAATGTAAGTAATCATATGAATTTTTAATTAACCTGGGCATTCAGTTCTAGAATCATTTAATTTCTGAAGATATATTCAGTAGTTAAACTTCTGAGGGTGTAGAAGAGAAGTTCACATTAATATCTGAAGGATGTATCTTCCTATCTCAGCCTTGTCAGCTTTTCAGGTAGGCTTTTAATATGTAAACTGCTGTTCAGGGAGGGATTGTAAGGAGAGAATTGTCTTTTTTCATTTATGTTTTCTTAAATTTTTTTATTGTTTTAAAGGAATTCTATGTAGCATCTTAGAATAATTAATGTGTTTATTGTTAGTAGTGTAATTTATATTTAAAATTATTTTAATACTCTTTTTTGTAAGCTGTCTTTGGTCTCTAAAGGGAGAAAAGCATTGTAGAAATAAATTAATTCTTGAAAATCCCTCCCAAGTAACACATGTGTGCTGTTCTCCAGTACAGTGGTGCCCCACAAGACAATGTTAATTCATTCAGCGAAAATCGATGTCTTGTGAAAACATCATCTTGCGAAATGCAGTTCCCCATTGGAATGCATTGAAATCCGTTTAATGGGTTCCAATGGGGGAAAATCATCATCGTTTTGCGAAAATCGCCCATAGAGAAACCATTTTGCAAAGCGCTGAACATTTGTAAAAATCACTGTCCTGCAAAAAACGGTCCCGAAAATACCCGTTTTGCAAGTCATAGACTCAGCTGTCAAAATCGTTTTGCAAAAATCCGTCCCGAAAAAAAAAACACCGTCTTGCGAAGCACGGTCCAAAACATCGTCCAGCAAAAATCGGCCATAGGAAACACTGTTTTGCGAAGTGCTATAGCGATCGCAAAACCTCATCGTCTAGCGAATTAACCATTTTGCGATGTAATCATCTAGCGGGGCACCACTCTATGTTTTCTACTAAATTCCATTCCATTTACCAACAGAAAAGAGATGAAAGCAGGGAATGTTACTGATTGAGCCAAGAAGACTCCCTAGCCACAATCCTATGCCACCTATTGTGCAGCCTATTGATTTTTGCAGGAATTCCCTGAGTAATAATATGTATACCTGCACTGTCTTTAACTGATTTGGAAAAATTGTGTATGGTTGAGAACTATGAACTTTATATTTATAGCCAAAGAAGAGTCTAAGGATCCAAGAAATGAAGGTCCAACACATCAAGTACCAAATAAACTGGTAATTATAATTATTCAGTTGTGTATGTGAATTTTGATAACCAGTTCTATTAACTTGTTTCCTAAATCACTTTTTAGTTACTGTTCCGTTAATTGAGGAGGTATTTACAGTGGTGCCCCACATGACAACGATAATCCGTTCCAGCAAAATAGCTGTACAGTGAAATCGTCGTCATGCGGGGGGGAAAACACCATTGGAATGCATTGAAAACCGGTCAGTGCGTTCCAGTGAGGGAAATACCTGATCGTCCTGCGAAGATCCTCCATAGGAAGATCCTCGAAGTCCAGTTTGCGATCCCTGTCTTGCGAAAATAGGTCAGCAAAAGAGCGGGGAGCCATTTTGCCAACCGTCAATCAGCTGTTTTTGCTCTCATGAAAAGGAAAAAGGGATGGGTAGAGCAGGGACGGGGCACAAGGCCATGCAGGCGCAGAATGCCTCCAACCATTCCTTGCTTGTCTTTCTGGACCGTTCTAAGTTTGGTGGAAGCTAAACTGAGCCCCGCCTCCCCCTTTTTTTCTGCCTTTTGCTGGCAGGGAGCTACGTGCGAGTGTGTGAGAAGAGGTAGGAGGAGGGGATGTCATTTCGTGTGTCAGCGTCAGTTGAAGGCGCGATCCCACAATGTTACTGTGGCGGCTGCCCTCCTGTAGTGAGGGTGCCAAACGTGAGGGGGGAAAGTGCCCATTCCTTTCCGTCATTTGTTGGGGACTGCGGCAGTGGCGGCGGCTCCCGGAGGATCCTCCCGAGCGCGGGCTATGACCTGCCTGCCCAGCTACTTGAGTGGCGGCAGTTCCTGCGCCGCCCTCCGTGCCTTGCACAAATCTTCATGGTGACACCAACCCCCTGCGCTGCCTCAGCAGCATCTCACTTTAATTCCTTGCCAGGCTCTGCCTCCAGCTGGGCTCCTCGGTTGTTCTCCCGGGAAGCCATTGGGCGCCTTCTCAGAGAAGCAGGAGCAGGTGGAACGAAACTGCCGTTCAGCACCTCCTCACAAAGGAGAAGGAGGGGAGGGAGTGCTCCTATGCTTTCTGCCTGGCCTCGCTCCCAGAGAGCAGGGGAAACTCCACATCCAGCATCAGGCTGGGTGAGAGAGTTCAAGGCAGAAGACTGTTGGGCTCCCTGCCTGATGACGGGAAACCACCCAGCCCTGAGCAGGCGAGGCGGGCTTGCTGCCTCCCCCTCCTGCCTGTTCCTACTTCCCTCCAATGCCAGCGAGCGGCTGAGTGAGTAAAAGGCTAGTTTTTCCTCTCCGAAAGCTGGCGCCGCCTGGGATGCTGTGGGTTTTTTTAATGATTCTTGCACCGTCCCTGCTGGCTTGCCAGTCTGCCACCTCCTCCTCCGCCTCTTTGACCTGCGCTCACCTTCTCCTACAAGGCTTAAACTTTGGGACTTGGGGTGGCAGCCGGAGTCAGAAGGAAGACAAAAGAGGGGACTGAGGCAGCTCCTCTTTGCCCATCATGAGGTGGACCCCTTTCCTCACAGGGCCATGGAGTAGCGTGGTGTGGGGTTGTGCCAAGGACTGGGGGAGGGCGAAAGAAAA